AAACCATCGACCTGCGCCTACTTAGTATGTGCGTACCTATGCATAGATATTCACATGTGACTGCAGTGCTGGCAGACCGCACGTGTAGTGCAATGCTAGCAGACCGCTCTGTTGTTCCGTTAGCAAGCTGCTCTTCCACCCCGCTGGCAGAAGCCACTCTTCTGCTGCACTGGCACAGTTAGTCCTGCAGGGGGATTGCTATATGTGGCAATGCCATTCTAGTCATATCGACTTCCATGCCTCATTTGTAATCTAATGTTCAATGTTCTTTACAATTCCCTTAGTGATTTCTTGCCAAACTCTTCTGTAAGCACAGCAAGTAGTGAGAACGCTAGCGCAACACTACGATCACTCGCACAACCCCGTGCCCTCCTCCATAGTCCACTCCCATCGTGTAGTGACTCTCTGCTGAAGCGAACAACGAATCAAAGAACAAATCGAAGCCTGGGGGCTAGTTTAGAAACTGACGAAGCAAGTAACGAACGGGGCCAGAATGACTAGCCTAAGGACAATAAGAACCACTGGAGGTGAAGCCTAGGTCGCGGCAAGAGAGGCAACTGCGGCTGCCAGCCGCTGCGAGGTAAGCCTATGGTAGGAGGCGTGTGATAGGCCGCTGGTACGGGTGAAGGGAGGGTGCAGACTAGTGCGGTAGGGGGCGGTCGAGTGCGTTTGGGAAGCGGTCAGGAAAGGAAAAGTGCGGACTAGTGTGGTGGAGAGCGGTTAAGGTGCGGCCGGGAGCGTAAGGGTGCAGTGGAGGGCGGTCTAGCACGGTGGGCAGCGGTTAGGAGGGGTTCAATGAGTAGAGTGCAGTTAGGAATGATCTAGTACGGTGGGGAACGAAGTGACATGTCAAGGAGCACGGGCAGCTGCTCGTGCAAGTGCTCCCGCGGCCTTAGCTTGTGCGAGGTGGCTTGCGCATGGCTGCGTGCCCAGGCAGCAGGGTTGGGCGCATAATGGGACGGGGCGGGCAGGGTAAGCAGAGACAACTGCTGTGCATGCGCGGCAGTGGCTGTTGTGTGCGCGGAGGTGGCTGCCGCATGCGTGGCGGCGGCTGCTGCTTGAGTGCGTACGGTGGCGCATGCGGTCGCGGCTGCTGCTGCCTACTCGTGCATGTGCGTGCCGATGGCTTCTCGCGCGGCTATGCGTGCTGCAGCTATGTGTGCGTGGCAGGTCAGGGCGCGGGACGGGAGGGGGGGAAGCAGTGCTCGGTGGCCTATGTGCGTGCGGGTGCGTGCAGGAGCTGCTGCGCGCGCATTTGCCTAGGATAGGGTGCGCGCTCTAGGGTGTTACGAACGAAGCGAAGCGCATTACGGGCGGGACGTGGTGTTTTTTCTTAAGCTAGGAATCAACCTACTGCGGATACTATCTTAGGATAAAAATTATTATGTAGGTAATAGGGTAAAAGGGGGAGGGGTAGAAGAAGAGTTTCGATAGTATTTGTGTACCCCTTAGGATGTGCCTCAGTACATGTTATCTAGAACTATATGACATGGTTTGACAATTTGATTCCTTGGGGCAATTAAAATTAGTGATTATTTACAACCCTTTCTATGTCACCTACATTATATATACTGCAAAGAGTCACTCTACACAGGAGCTGGACTACGGAAAAGGCACGGGTTCTATGAGTGAGCGTTCCTTAGTTGCTAGCTCGTCTTCTCTCTACGCACACATTCACGGAAAGAATTGGCAAGAATTTCACTAGCAAAGGTTGCATTACATAAAGGTAGCAATTGCAATGGCAACAATAACTAAATCAAACCCTAGCAACCTCGCAATCAAGCTTGTCGACCGCCAGCGCAGCATGGTCGACAGTCCGCTAGCGTTGCGTAGAGACACCGCGCCAGTGCTGCAGAAGAGCGGCCTGCCAACGAAGCAAGTCCGCAGCTTGCCAACGCTGCACCAATCACGTTCTCTACCGTCGCGCACGTGTCAGGTCGTGTTCGAATATAACTTTATGCAGTGTAGACTGTAGTGCATGTAATCTTTTGCTGTAGGTGGTGTACCTCCTTTCTTGCCTATTTGTACTTGTCCCTCCATAGTGCAACTCCACTTTTGTTTGGCCAAACTCTCTCGTCACCTCCTAGCCTTGCTCTAAACCCTAGCCTTTTGTTCTAAACTTCTTGTTTCTGACATGGTATCAGAGCTTCTTAGATCCTGGCCTGTGAGCCCATGCTTCCGCTGCTGTCCTGCCTACCGTGCGCCCCGGGCGCGAGGCATTTTCTGCTTGCCGCGCGCTCGGGGCGCGCGTGGCGTTTTTTTCCATCCCGCCGCGCGCTCGGGGCGCGCGGCGGTTTTCTGCTCGGCGCCCCGCCCCGCAGGACCCGCGCGCTGCCCCGCGGGACCCGCGCGTCGCCCCCGCTGGACCCGCGCGACGCCCTGCGGGGCTCGCGCGCTGCCCCGCTGGACCCGCGCGATCCTGCGGGACCCGCGCGTCGCCCCCGCTGGACCTGCACGACGCCCTACGGGGCTCGCTCGCTGCCCCGCGGGACCCGCGCGCCGCCCCTGCTGGACCAGCGCGCCTCCCCTGGGGACCCGCGCGCCGCCCCTCCTGGACCCACCTACCGCCCGCGCCCTGCCCGTTGCGGGCGCCCCACTGCCCGCCTGCGCCCTGCACGTCGTGACGCCGCCCGCTTTCCCCCCCCTCCTCCTTCGGTTTCCTGCTGCGTGTGCAGTCGTGTGGAGGGTATGGGGGTGGCGGGGGTAAGGGGGGGTATGGGGGTGGTAGGAATGCGTGACCAGCTGCCCCTCCTCCTCTCTCTCCCACTGTTGCAGCTGCCGCTGAGGGGGGGATGGATTGGGTGAGGTTGGGGAGAGGCGCTAGCAAGGGGGTGTGTGAGAAGGGGGTGTGGGACTGTTAGGGGAGATTGAACGGAAGTCGCCGTCGTGTCGTCAGCAGTGCCTGTAGTCCGGAGCCCTCGTGCTCTCGGTAGCCCAGCGAGCCTGCTTCGCCAGTCGCCTGTGGGTGCGTTGCTCCTGCCGCTCGTCGTAGCCGCGGAGCCAGATACTCCCGTAGTCCGGTGCCCTCGTGCGCTCGGTAGCCACTGTGCGCGCCGCTCCTGTTGCCCGTGTGTCTGCGGCTTCACCCGTCGCCTCGTATCTCCACTCCTCTCATAGTCCCTCCTCCTCACTTGCCCTCTCCTTCTGCTGCGCTCTACTTGGTGTACCCCTACAGGGGGTGTTGCTGCACATGGTCATCCACTGCATGCAGTTAGGGGGTGTGTTCGAATATAACTTTATGCAGTGTAGACTGTAGTGCATGTAATCTTTTGCTGTAGGTGGTGTACCTCCTTTCTTGACTATTTGTACTTGTCCCTCCATAGTGCAACTCCACTTTTGTTTGGCCAAACTCTCTCGTCACCTCCTAGCCTTGCTCTAAACCCTAAGCTATGGGTTCTAAGGATGTTCCTAATCTACTCTAGTTAAACTTCTTGTTTCTGACAGGTCGGCCACGTGGCGACAGTTGCGCTAGAAGCTCCACATCGACCTCGGGATACCAGCACGAGGTCGCCTTTGCCATCGCAGCCTCGACGACGTTCGCGCGCCCCGGAAAACCTCGTCGAGGAGGTTACCTGGTCGACCGGGTCGACCATCAAGCGCCCTGGTCGACAACCTCTCTCGTCGACCACTTCGTCTGTCGAACACCACGCTGGTCGACTGCCTCCTCCGCCAACCAACTCGGTTGGTCTCTGCCGTCGAACTCCCACACATGGCAAATTTTATCAGTGTAAATCACCCTGATACCCTGATTATCAGGGTGGTTTTTGGTAGTCACACTGATGGCCTAGGGTAATTTTTTCGAGAGATAATTTTTTCCTGATATGCCAGGGTTTACATTTAAGGCACACTGACGACTCAGGGTTACCTATTTCATAACGAGTTTTACCCTGAAGCGAGCTATCAAATTACTCACGTTGGAGTGTCCCGGTCGGTTGATTGGCCTGCGGAAGAATGAGGACTCGGGATCGAATCCCGTAGTTCTCGCTTTTTTTATTCAGAACTTCAGTAGAAACACTTCATCAGGGTATTGAAGATTGTTACACTGTGGCATAAGGGTAATTTTTTTGAAACTATGGAAAACCCTGATGGAAAAGAATTTTCCCAAGGGGTCACACTGATAATCAGGGTTTTGCTAAGGTGCAGGACTGATGATAAGGGTTGCTTGAAACCAAAAATTAGCCCTGCTCCCACATTCGACGGATGCACACAAGTCCCGCGCGTGTCGACGAACCGGTTCGTCGACCTCCCTTGTCAAACAAGGCTACCAGCTTCCCTTCGTCGGCGGCGTCACAGCGGTTCCCTGCTGGTCGACTAACTCTGTCGACCAGCACGCATCGAGCCCTTCGGATGGTCGGCCGCACCTCCCGCGCACCCGACCACTACATCGGCTTCGCCCAAGCGAGGGCGTGGCCAACACTCTATTCTCGTCAACATACGGTATTCATGGCACAAAACAACCCAATCTCAAACATCGGGCCACAACCCAAACATCGGGCCACAACCCTACGATCGTCTTGAAAATTAGGGTATCAGAATCTCTTACCCTAATCCGTTATCGAACTCAAGCACATGTTCACTTGATATAGGAATGCTGAGTTTCAACTGTCATTCTTGTAAGGATGAAGAGGTGATACCTTCTTAACGCAAAATTCCATAGCGAGTGCACCCAACATCCAACACTACCACGCATATCGGCCCAAAAACCCCTGATCTGCCTTGAGAGTTCTCCGCGTGTTATGCACTCCCTCCGGCCATGTCACCATTATAATCTACCCCTATCATTCCTCAAGCGGCTCGCGAAGCGCATTCGCGGCTCCCCTCATCCTCTCCGCATTCCGCGCTAAACCTCCAGTTCATCGCGCAACGGTGTAGTGGTAACCCGCATATCTTTTTCTTCCGCCAGTGCCGCCACCCATCGGCCTTCCGCCGCCAGCACAAGCCGCCATGGAGGCGATCGTGACGCCGCTGCGAGCCGCTGCGCCGAGAGCGCCGCTGCGCCAATGGCAAGGCGGTCGGCCGAGGCTGCGTGCGGCTGTGCGGTGCGGCAGTGCAGCCTCAGCGTGTCCGCTCGTCAGGTTCGTCCCTCGCCCCCTCGCGCTCTCGCTCGCTCGCCTATTCGTCCACTCGCCCACTCGCCCGCTCCCTCATTCTCTCCCACTTTAGTCTGCTCCTCTCGTGTATCGAGTCACGCCACCCCCTCGCCTCCGTTGTATCGCGTCACGCCACCCCCTCGCCTCCGTTGTATCGCGTCACGCATCCCCCTCGCCTCCGTTGTATCGCGTCTCGCCACCCGCTCGCCTCTCAGCGCCGATAAAAGCGCCCACTTATCCCTCCCCCTTCCCCCGGCTTTCTCCCGTTGCAGGAGATTGCCACGTGCCGGAACCCCATTGCTGCGTGCGCCCTCTTCACAACGCGGCGGCAGCAGCAACAGAAGCGGCGGGCGGCAGGCAGGAAAGGCGCGAGCGAGGTTTGAGACGGAGGGGAGGGGGAGATACGAGCGAGCGGGGTATGCGAGCTACGGGGAGTGGGACCCGCGCGCGGGGACAGGCGCGGAGGAGGAGGCGGAGGAGGGGGAGGGCGAGGGAGAGGGCGAGATGAGCGCGGGAATCGGGGCGGGGGAGGTCGATGACAGGGGGTGGCGGACGGCGGAGGAGGTTCGGCGGGAGGTGGAGGCGCGGAGGCGCGCGGAGGCGGAGGCGGAGGCAGTGCGCGCAGCAGTGGAGGAGTATAGAGACGCGGAGGAGTTCCTTATCACGGATATAAAAGAATCCGCGAATCCCAACTACCTCGCGTCGCACCAGTCGTACCCCTCCCCCTTCATCTACATCCGCCCCGTCTGCTCGCGCCCCAACGAGGGGGAGCGCTTCCCCCGCGCGCGCAACCTGCTCGTGGGCGAGGCGGACCCGCTGGAGCGCGTGCGCGCGCACATGGCGCGCGCGGAGGGGCGCGAGTACGTGCCTGCGGGCATGAGGGGTGGCGGAGAGGGAAGCGGGGGCGAGGACGAGGAGGAAGAGTGGGGGAAGGGGGACGAAACGGAGGAGGAGCAAGAGGGAGAGGACGAGGACGAGGGGGAGGGGGAGGGGGGGTTGGCGCGCAGCGGGGGGGGCGGGCGGTTTTGGGAGGAGGAGGAGGACGAGGCGTGGGAGGCGGAGAGCGCGGCGCTGAGGGGGCTGAGCGGGTGGGCGCGCATGCGAGGTGCGTGGGCGCTGGAGGACCGCGAGAGAGACGCTGCAGCTGCTGCCACCGCTGCTGCTGGTGTTTCTGCTGCTGCAGCCGGGGGGGAGCAGTTGGGCGCGGACGGGCAGGGGTTGGTGCAGGAGAAGGGGGCTACGGGGGGAGTGGGCGCGTGGGCGCGGGGGGAGGCGTTTGTGGGGGAGGTGGCGCCTCTGGAGGTGGTGGGGGAGGAGGAGGTGTGGTGGAACTGGCAGAAGAACGAGGGCGAGCAGCAGATCTGGACCGCCTGGCAGAAGGAGGCCGCCACCACCGATGCGGTGCGCTGCGGTGGGATGGGGTCGGATGGGATGGAATGGGATGGGGTGGGGTGGCATGATGGGGTGCAGTGGTGGGGTGGTGCAGTGGTGGGGTGCTGGTGCATGCAGCACTAATGTACGGAGGGGCAGCACCATGCTCTCACTGCGTGCGCTCGCAGTGGCATTCTCACACGCACAGGCCTTGTCGCTGCCAGCAGCAGCAGGCGCTGAAGCCACTTTGTCTGCCCTCCTCGTCCCCCCCCGCTTCCACTCCCCCTTCCCTCCCCACTTTCCTTCCCCTGTCTCCTCCCTTCGTCTCCCCCTTCACCTGGCAGGCAATGGCACTGGCAGCAGCGGAGGCGGGGCACATAAGGCTGCACGGCGACAAGCCCACCACGGCCCCCCTTTGTAACAGCAGGCGACGGCCTTGGGTCCCCCTGTGCTACCAGCAACAGCTGGTGCTCATGCCACTCCCTCTGCCCTCCTCTCCCTGCCGCCCCCTTCGTCTCCCCCTCCATCTGTCAGGCGATGGCACTGGCAGCAGCGGAGGCGGGGCACATCAGGCTGCACGGCGACAAGCCCACCACGGCAGAGGCCGTGCTCGCCAGGGTGCGCCGCAAGCCGCTTGCAGATGAGAGGTACTGTGAGATTGGGGGGAGTTGAGTGAGGGCGGTGTGGTCATCAGGTAAAGGATCATTTTGTCGACTCAGAAGAGCCCGTGCGCCGCAAGCCCCTTGCCCATGAGGGATGCGGGCAGGGTGGGGGCGGGGGAGATGGAAAGGGGGAAGGTGAGGACGGAAGGGTAATCGGGTAAAAGAGAGAGGTGGGGCACTGTGAGGGCGGGAGGGTAGTGAGGTGGGGGTGTGGGAGGTGAGGGTAGAAGGTTGAATGAGTTGAGGAACTGGCGAACGCGAAGTGGGCTCGTGTGAGGTGGGTGGAGTGGAAGGACAGTTGGGGGGGAGGGAAAGGTGAGGGGGAATGGTTAGTGAGGGAGGGGGGGTGGTTGTGAAGGCGGGGCAGGGAAGGTGAAGCAGTAGGGCATGGCATACTACCAGGAGTGGGTGGCAGCATGGCCGCACTACCCCCCTTGTGCGCTCCCCCCTAGTTTGTGTGCACACCGCTTGTGGGTCCCCACCTGTGCGCGCACCCCACCAGACTAGCCAAGGAGGAGGAGCTGAGGGAGCGGCTGGGTGGCATGGCGTGCTACCAGGAGTGGGTGGCGGCATGGCCGCACGACACCCCCCTGTGCGCCCCTCTCCCCCTTTGTGCCCCTTCCCCACCCCCCCGTGCGCCCACTCCACCAGACTAGCCAAGGAGGAGGAGCTGAGGGGGCGCCTGGGCGACCTGGCGTACTACCAGGAGTGGGTGGCGGCATGGCCTCATGACACGTCGCTCAAGGCCGTGCGGCGCGTGGCGAGGGAGACGGGGCGGCCCATGGAGCACCAGATACTGGACATGCTCGCCATGCAGGTGCGGTGGAGTGGGGTGGGGTGGGGTGGGGTGGGGTGGGGTGGGGTGGGTGGGGTGGGGCCGCGTGCAGGTGACATGTGTGGGGCGGGCAGGCGAGTGGCGAGGGAGACCGGCCTATGAAACACCAGATACTAGATATTCTCGCCATGCAGGTGCGGGGTGGTGGGGGCGTGCAGGTGGGAGGGGTGGTGCTGCCATGCAGCTGGGTGGGTGTGCACGCCCATGCTGCTGGCAATGCGGGTGCGGTGGTATGTGAAGTACTTGGCCCGGCCGCATGGATGGGTGTCATCCTCTCATCTTCAACTCTTCCACTCCACTCCTCTTTCTTCTGCCTGGCCATACCTCCCGTCCTCGCATCATGCATACAGTGTGTGTGGAACTGCGACTCATGCGCCTCACTGCCCACCATTTTCCTTCTCTCCACCATTCGTTTTGCGTCTTCTCTCTTCACCGCCCTCTCGTCTCCTCCCCCCCTGCCCCCCAGACCCAGCGTGAGTACAACGCCATGTGTGGGAGGGACGTGTGGCTGACTGGCCTCCCACCCACCATTCACATTCTTCTCCTCATTACACCGTCCTCTCCTCTCCCCTCTCCCATCCCCCCCACCCATCAGACCCAATGCGAGTACAACGCCATGTGTGGGAGGGACGTGCGGCTGAAACGCCAGCCACCCACCATTCTATTACTTTCTACCCCTCTCCCCCCCTTCCACTCGCCAGACCCAGCGCGAGTACAACGCCATGTGTGGGAGGGACGTGCGGCTGCAGAAGGACCCGCTGGCCATCCGAATGGACAAGAAGCAGTGCAAGCGCGGTGAGCAGTGCAAGCGCGGTGAGCAGTGCAAGCGCGGTGAGCAGTGCAAGCGCGGTGAGCAGTGCAAGCGCGGTGAGCAGTGCAAGCGCGGTGAGCAGTGCAAGCGCGGTGAGCAGTGCAGTGAGTAGAGGGGTGGTACAAGCGAGGTGACGTGTGAAAGTAGCACAACCCATGCCATCCGGTGCACCTTGATCCGCCCTTCCATCTCTTCCTCTTCCGGTCCTGCACTGCAACGTGTGGTGCACGCCACCTCGTCACCACCCCTCCCCACCTCCATGCGTGCAGTGTGGGGCGGCGACCCCGTCTACCCCACGGTGAACTACGAGCAGGCACTGGACCACGGGGTGGACTACCCACGCCCACCCCTGTGTGCTCTGCTCTTCTCCCTCACCGCCCCTACCACCTCCGTGTGTGCAGTGTGGGGCGGCGACCCCGTCTACCCCACGGTGAACTACGAGCAGGCACTGGACCACGGGGTGGACTACCACAGCCCACCTCGTTTACCCCTGAGCTCCCCTTCTCAACTCCTAGTGTGTTCCCTTCCTCAACCACCATCCGTGCAGTGTGGGGCGGCGACCCTGTGTACCCCACAGTGAACTACGAGCAGGCACCGCACCACGTGGTGGACTCCCGCAGCCCACCCCTGTGTGTCCCTTGCTCTGTGTGCTGTCCTCCCCTCACTGACCGCCCCTCCCCATCCTCCATGCGTGCAGTGTGGGGCGGCGACACTGTCTACCCCACAGTCATCTACGAGCAGGTACCGGACCACGTGGTGGACTACCGCGTTCCCACCTCGTCTGTCTGCACATGCTCTGTGTGCGCCCCTCCTCAACCCCTTGTGTGCTACTCCCTACAGTGTGGGGCGGCGACCCTGTGTACCCCACGGTGAACTACGAGCAGCAGCCAGACCACGTGGTGGACTACCGCGGACCCAACTTCCACGAGCCTAGTGAAGACCCCTTCAGCGTCGTGCGCCAGGTGGGCTGCCGGTGCTGGTGGGTAGAGCAGGTGGGAGTGGTGCAGGTGGGAGTGGTGCAGGTGGGAGTGGTGCAGGTGGGAGTGGTGCAGGTGGGCCCAGCTATGACCCAACTTCCACGAGCCCAGCGAAGACCCCTTCCCAGGTCAGCTGCACGGTTGGCTGCGGATAGAGGTAGAAAAGATGAGCAGGTGGGGTTAGGAGATGCAGCGAGGACTCGTTGAACGCTGTGCTTTGGATCAGCAGCACAGTTGCGGGCAGAGGTAGCAAAGCTGGGTTGTGGGTTATGGTGCATGCAGGCTACGGTGTTTGGGCCACTGTGTTGCTCGGAGGGCCGGGCCCTTGTTCGTCTTTCTTTCCCTCCATCGCCGGCGTTGAGGTGCTCTTCAGCAGGAGGCACGGTGGTGGTGGCGCAGCAGTGGACGGAAGTCGTGATGTCATTGCAATGCTTCCCACCCTCACTCTTCTTTGGTGTTTTGAACCCTGTACCCTCAACCCCTCTTTCTCTCCCCACGGCAGCAAGGCAGGGTGGTGACGCAGGAGCAGATGGAGGCCATTATGGCACTTCAATGAACCCCCCCTCTCCCCTCTCTACTCACTGTCTCCCTCGCTCCACTCTCCCCTCACACCACCTGTCACTCTCTTCCAACCCCCCCCCCCCACAGCAAGGCAGGGTGGTGACGCAGGAGCAGATGGAGGCTATCATGGCGCGCGAGCAGGAGGAGGAGGAGGCGGTGAGTGCATGGTGGGAACAGGGCGTGTTGTGTTGTTCCTGCTCTATTGTGTTCATGTATGTGGTTGTGCACCCCTGTGCATGCACATGTGCACGCCCGTTGCCATTGCACACTTTCGTCTGCCTTCATTCCACCAACCCAGAAACCCCTCACTCCCTGTTGTCACTGTCCCCCCTTGTCACTCTCCGCCTGACCTCTCCCGTCTGGCTTCCGTTTTCCGTCTTCTTTGGTGCCTACCTGGTGTGTGCGTGTGAGCCGTGGCTCACCATTTCAGTTCCTGCAAGAGCTGGAGGAGACAGGAGAGGACGCTGTTGACATTGGCGAGGAGGAGGAGGATGAAGAGGAGGAGGAAGAGGAAGAGGAGGACGAGGAGGAAGAGGACGAGGTAAGCTGATTCGGGAAACGATGCTTTTCGCCATTTCTGCTTCATTCCACACCCTTCACCCCCCTCCTTCCCTTTCACACATAACTACTTGTGTACCTTCAAGTTGTTTTTGATTTTGCATTAACCTGGAGTGCAAAAGTATGCATGGTTGGGGGGAGGGGGAGGGGGAGGGGGGGGGGGGGGGGGGGAGGGGAGGGAAGGGCATGGTTGGCTTCGCGTTCCGCGCTTGTCTCATCCTCTCTCACCACATCTCGCTGTGCCTCCTCCCACACTTTCCACGCTTCTCCTTTCCTCCTTCCCCCTCAGATATCCGAGGACGATGATTCGGACGAGGGCCAGCCAGCACAGGCGTCGTCGCACGGGCATGCGGTGCGGGAGGGGCGGGGGAGGCGGCCAGCGGAGATCCTGGAGGAGGACGAGCAGACGGGCATGCAGTGGGTGGCCGTGCCCACGCGCATGGAGGGCACGCCTGGGCGACTCGCTTATGAGGAGGACAGTGAGGGGATGAGCGAGGAGGAGGATGAGAGGGGGGATGCTGCTGGTAGTGCAGGTGGTGGTGCTCCTAAAGGCGGTATCTAACACTGTTTTTTATTGTCAGGCAGATGTTCTGTTTCGTGTTGTGATTCGCTAAAAGACTTGTGATAAACGGATTCGAGCCGCGTGAAGCAACTTTCAACATGTGCGACTTCACCTATGTCAAGCTGAAATGCTGAATGGCTTGGAAAATGCGTTCTGGACCAGCAAAATCAAGAGGGCTCAAATGTGGAACCACAAGGTGGTTGTGTTGCTTTCAAGAGTGGCCACTGGGCAGGGCAGGGCACCATACGTTTCAGCACAAAGTGCCCAGCGATTCTTTGAACTCATTGCCAAATGGTCTCTTTTTATACATAGCGTTTGAAATCCATATCCCATTTCATAAATTTATTTGGACCCCCATAGGGGGAGGGGTGCGCCTTCCTCGGAGTTAGTGCAATACCGAGGAGACGCTCGCAGGGCCGACCAGCAAGCTGGCCATTGGCACCTGCCCCCAAAAGAAATTAATTTAATATCATGTGGACCGATGGTCCACGTATCAGATATTAAACTGATAAGAACAGATACTACACTTGATCTTAGCCAAAAGGCCGAGAAAGGTATGCCTTTAACGATCTTATTCTCACTTTTTATCGTCAAATCCTGAAAGTGCAGAGTTACGTGTTGTGGGTCCTTTGTTTCTGGTTCTTCACGTGGCAGCGGACGGAGTGCCACGTGTACCGTCATCGTTTTGAGCCGAAGTGTGGGCTTCATTCGCACCCAATTGCGCCTCCCAAGCAATCGAGTAGAAGGCAACGCAGTTTCCCTCGAAAGGGGTTCTTCTCTTCATCCTTCGACCCATCCCCGCGTCTTTCCTTGTGCTATTGCGTTACACACGACCTGCACGCAGCGCGCTCGCAGCGTTGCACATTTCCTACCACCATGGCGTCATTCAGTCGGTTGAAACTAGAAGTGAGAGCTAATTAGGGTTGGCGAGCAACGTAGCTTATTCCTAGAGCAGGTAGTTGCTCCTCTGGCCTCTTTCACAGGGCCAGGGATTATATCGGCGCTCTTCACCGTTCATCGACAAATACTGTGGGAACGCCGCGCTTGTTGAATCTAAAATGGCTGATCGCCAGTGGAGTGTAGTTTCTTCGCTGGCGAATCTCGCCAACAGCGTCGCCCTCCTGCTTCTTGCTTTCGCCGTGCTGAGTTCGCGAAGAGCGAAGGCGCAGGGCGAGCCGGACTGGCGAGCGGAAACGGCGTCTGTTCTTCAGCAGGTGTCGCAGCAGGCATATCTATCCTCCTTCGCCGCCATATTCAGCGATTTCTGTAAGCACCAAACCTACGTGCCTCTGTTGTTTTGCCCGTTCTTCACACAGCATCGTGAGTGCATCCTCCTACCCTCCTCTCCAATCACCTCCCTTCCACCAATGTCTTACTCGTATTGCCTTTTCTTCCCACCTGCGCATCTCAATTCCATACTTTGCTCCTCTTTCCACCTGCACCTTCAGTTCTCAACTGGGTGTTTTTCCCTCTAACAGCCCCACCCTGCTACCCCCTCCCATGCCTCCCAACATCCTACCGCGCCTCATTCCACGCACACCGCACCACACCTCACCTCATTCCAACGCACCGCACCACATTCCACGAGCACCACTGCACCTCATTCCATCCGCACCGCACCTCAGGTCGTATCCCAGGCTAGTGTCAATCTGTTTGTGTCAACTGAAAGCTGCTGGAGGAATATTCCTCCTGGTGTCAGCTAAACCGACCAATGTGATTGCGGGAAGTGGCCCAATGTGCCCAACATTGACACCAGGCTGGAGCCGCGTGCGGGCGCGGCTCCACCTCGTGTCAAGCGCGTTTGGCGTCTGACACCAACTGCAGATTGAGACTAGCCATACCGACCTCATTCCACGCATACCACACTGCACCATATCTCATTCCACGCGCACCGCACTCGACCTCATTCCATGTGCACTGCACCGCACCACACCACATTCCAAGCGCACCGCACCACACGACAGCTCATCCCACGCGCATCGCACCACACTGCTCCTCATTCCACGCGCACCCACCGCACTGCACCTCATTCCACGCCCACCGCACCACACCGCACCTCATTCCACGAGCACTGCACTGCACCGCACCTCATTCCATGTGCACCGCACCGCACCACATTCCAAGCGCGCTGCGCGACACCTCATTCCACGTGCATCGAACCAAAATTCTCCTCATTCCACGCGTACTGCATCTCATTCCACGCGCACCGCATCTCATTTCACGCGCACCACACCTCATTCCACGCGCACTGCACTACACCGCACCTCATTCCACCCACACTTCACCTCATTCCATGTGCACCCCACAGAACCGCACCCCACCGCACCGCACCGCACCTTATTCCACATGGACCGCACCGAACAGTGCCTCACTCCACGTGCACCGCACCTCATTCCATGTGCTCCGCACCGCACCACACCTCATTCCGCGCGCACTGCACCGCACCTCATTCCACGCTCACCAAACTGCACCGCACCCCATCCCACCAAGCACCTCATTCCACCCGCACCGCAACGCACCACACCGCACTGCACATCATTCCATGCACACTGCGACACTCCGCACCTCGTTGCACGCGCACCTCAACACTCAGAACCTCACGTGCACCGCACCGCACCTCATTCCACGCACAACCCCCCCCAACCCCCACCCCCCCTCCCCCCCTTTCTCCCCCTTCCCTCCCCCCCTTTCTTTTTCCCCCCTCCCCCCGCCAAACCAATCTTTCTCATGCAGTGCAAGGCGGGCAGCAGCCCATCACAGCCCCAGCCACGCTGCTCGTCCCCACCAACGTGGGTCATTGGCGCTACCTCGCGCGCTGGACCGCCCTATCCCCCACGCACCAGCGCCGGTTACTGCGTTATCACATCCTCCCCGGCCGCTACTCCGCCCAGCAGCTCCTGGACGCCCCGCCGCTCACCCTCTTCCCCACCTTCAACCACCGCCTGCCGCTAAACAAAACGCTTAAGCCAGAAGAAGTGTATTTCCAGTCGGTTCCGCCGATGAAATCTGCGTCACCGCTAAGTGTGCCGGATGCAGGGTTAACGGAGCACATGGCTGCGCACGGTGTGACGTTTGTGCTAGAGCCACCCAACCTGGAGTGTATCACCGTGGCGTGCAACAGCAAGGCTGAGAGCATGGCGCACATGGGATAAGTCAAGAGCAGTTGCACCCCTAAAATATGAGAAGCCCAATTTTCAGCTACCTAACACATCTGACAAGTGTTCTTACCTACAGAACCAACAATGATAGTGCTGCAAAGCATGGAATGCGTCATTTCGGTGCTGTAATGTGTCAAAAGTTGGGTCATTAGATTAGACACATCATCCACCTACGTCTTGCGTGCAATAAATTTACTCAATAACGGGGTATGACTTCTCGTGGGACACTGGCGGTGTTGCCTAGACCAGCGCTGCGAAGGCTGACGAAGCCAAACGACGCTCATGAAACTCGCTTCGCATATGGTCGTTCCCATTCCATCCTCCGTGAGATTCTGGGTTGCATATTGGGGGCCCATTTTGTGAATCCCTAAGCGCTTGGACGCGAACGTATATCCAATTCGTACAGTTGCCTGAAGTTCCATTCTGGAGAGAGCTCACCTCTACAGGCAAAACACCACTCACTGAGAACAAGAAGAGAATGAACCGAACTGATCGACTTTACTCGGAAGAATGCCGCCTTACTAGACTTTGTTACTGCGCCTTGGAATTGCCGTGTGCTTGCGGTGCATCCGCGGCAGCCATGGCGACAGCCAGACGTCAGCAGCATGCACACCCCCACACTCCACGCGCCGAGCCGTCGCTCTTCATCTCGTTAGATTCGATGCTGCACCTCCTGATTTGTTGGACGCTTTCTCGCGCTCGTGATCGTGGCCGCGCTACTTGAGTCTTCCTTTAGGCCATTTGCTCACCTTCTCATGCGGTGTTTCCCGTCGTGGCGTCCTGAATTGATTTTTAGCGGAAAAGCTGAAAGTCTTCAAGGTTAATTACAGCACGAGCGATTCGCGTTACGGAATCTGCGCGGACATGCCTAATTGACGTCGAACGTCGATTTGGAATCGTTCGCTTCGCTCCCTGACACGGAGAATCGCGGCGAGCGGCAGCGGCGATGGGCGTACTGGCGAAGCTGCTGTACATCCTCGTGGAGGACGACGAGGAGGAGCAGGAGGCGGAGGAGGAGCGCGCGGGGCGTAGTAAACCCGCAGCAGCCGATGATGGCAGCGGGAAGGCCGCTCGTCGTCCTGCTCCTCCGCCGACGCGTGCGGCGGTGCGCTACACCAAGTCGGTGCTGTCCAGCACGCTGCAGCTCATGGGGTGCAAGTCCCGCCACGCCGTCAAGGTGAGACCGCCCTGTGCTGCACTGCTCAGATCAAACCTACTGCTAGTAGCAAGACGTTTTTTATTTCTCCTGTAACGCATGCGGGACACAGAGGTTAAAACGCGTTCCATCTCATCGTTATTTTCCCTCCCCGGCGCTCCTCTCCCCCACCACGCGCAGATCAGCGAGCGCGTCTTCCAGATGCTGCTGCAGCAAGTCACCAGCCGGCGAGTTTCCGGCCATCGGACGGACGTGCCGCACCGGTCACGGATGGCAAACGGATCCGACGGCAGCCAGCGATTGGCCAGACCAATCCGAGAAGAATCCGGCGCCGTTCTGGCCACCGGCAGCGCCAGCCATGATAATCACAATTTCCGTGACAATAATGGTCGTGACAATAACGGCTGTGACAATAACGAGCGGACAGACAGCAGGGCAGCAGCAGGGGGATCAAGTGCGGGCGGCGACACAGTGAGGGGCGTGAGCGTGTCTTTGAAGCGCAGCACGTTTCTGGACGTGGTGTGCCGGGCACTGGCGGAGTATCGCTACCTCAGCGCCGACCAGCGCAGCGACCTCGCCCTCGCCTGCAAGTGAGTGCACCGCACTAAACCGCACCGCGCTGCACTGCTACAGTTTCTGGCGTCTCAGGCGCTGGCGGAGTATCGCTACCTCAGCGCCGACCAGCACAGCGACCTCAACCTCGCCTGCAAGTGAGCCCCTGCTTACCGCTCCGCACCGCACTGCACTGCCGCACTACACTGCTGCCCACACTGTAAAACTAGTGATGTCATTTGATCTGTCACGGCTGTTGTGGTGGATTTGCGTGCCGTTATTGGTGTGCTTCTGAGCCTCTTTGTGTGCTGCTGCTGCTTGCTGCTGCCGTGCAGGGTGCGTGAGAGGAAGATGTCAGTGACGGTGTTCCTGTGTGGCGCCAGCGGCTGTGGCAAGTCCACCCTCGCCTCCCTCCTGGTACGCTATGCTGCACACCTGCCTTCCCTGCCCTGCCTTCTCCTTTCCTCCTCCCCTCCTTCCCTCCTTCCCTTCCTCCTTCTTCACTCCCCCTCTTTCCCTCCCTCTCTGCCTCCCCCTCCCCCCCACCCGTTCTTCCTTCCCGCGTGACTGCCATTCATCCTTCGTCGCCTATGCCTCTCGGGTTCACCAGCTCCCTCACATGCTCCCTCGCTCACATGCTCCCTCCCTCACATGCTCCCTCGCTCACATACTCCCTCCCTCACATGCTCCCTCCCTCACATGCCGCACGCACCATGGGCGGCGGCAGCAGCGGGGAAGGCACCTCGCTCACATGCTCCCTCCTGCCCCCCCTCCCCCCCGGTGCAGGCATCACGGGTGGGCATCACGGGTCGACCCACTCCTTGCGCCACACAATCCGTGGCTTCAGCAGGCGAGAGAAAAACTGCCATGCCACCTCCTCGCAAACTGCCTTCCGCTCTTGCATTCCCCCCCTCCCCCCACTGCCCCCTCCCGTACGCCTCTCCCCCCTCCCCGGCAGGCGTCGCGGCTGGGCATCACGACAGTGGTGTCGACGGACTCGCTGCGCCACATGATGCGCGGCTTCAGCAGCCGCGAGGCCAACCCGCTGCTGTACGCCTCCACGTACCAGGCAGGCGAACACCTCGACCCCGCCGCTGTTGCTGATGCCAAGGCCAGGAAGAAGGCCGGCAAGCTGGCTGGGAAGCACGGTGGCGCACAGGCTGGTGGCCAGGCTGCCGCAGCAGCACAGCGAGATTGGCAAAGAGGCCGGGAGAGGGGGCTGGCAGCTGGGGAGGTTGGGGGGCAGGTGTGGCTGAGAGAGATGCAGGGCGCTGTGGATCTGAGACAGATGCAGGGCGCTGTGGATCTGAGACAGATGCAGGGCGCTGTGGATCTGGGCGCTGGTGAGAGCAGAGGCGCGGTAGGATTGGGGGGTTGGGTGGGGGGAGGGCAAATAGGCGGGGAAGGGTACAACGGGGGAGAAGCTGCAGTGACAGGGGGAGGTGGGGGTGGGAGGGATGAGAGGGAGATGGGAGAGGCGGTTTGGGATGGTCGGCCGAGCGTGACAGGGTTGGACAGGGAGAGGAGTGGGGAAGGAGGCAGTGGAGGGCAAGGGAGAGATTTGGGGAGTGGGATGGATGCTGTGAATGGGAAGGAGCCAACGAGTGAGAAGGAAGTAGTGAGTGAGATGGAGGCAGTAAGTGAGAGGGAGGGGGTGAGTGAGAGGGAGATGGTGATTCAGGGGTACAAGGCGCAGAGTGAGATGGTGATAGGCAGTGTAGAGCAGCTGCTGTGCAAGTGGGAGCGCTGCCATGAGTCCGCCATCGTGGAGGGCGTTCACCTCAGCCTCAACTTCGTGGTACGCTTTAGGGTTGCCTGCATCCCACGTGGCACCTGTATCCCACGTGGCACCTGTATCCCACGTGGCACTTGCATCCGACGTGGCACCTGCATCCCACGCGGCACCTGTATCCCACGTGGCACCTGCATCCCACGTGGCACCTGTATCCCACGTGGCACCTGCATCCCACGTGGTACCTGCATCCAACGTGGCACCTGCATCCCACGTGGCACCTGAATCTCACGTGGCACCTGCATCCCATGTGGTACCTGCATCCAACGTGGCACCTGCATCCCACGTGGCACCTGCATCCCACGTGGTACCTGCATCCAACGTGGCACCTGCATCCCACGTGGCACCTGCATCCCACGTGGCACCTGCATCTCACGTGGCACCTGCATCTCACGTGGCACCTGCATCCCGCATGCCTCCCCATGGCAGATGGAGCTGCTGAAGCGGCATCCTCTATAATTCCCTTTGTGATTAACATCGGCAACGGTTCGAAGCACATGGGGCGCTTTGCGGTGCGCGCATGCCGCTGGACCCCCTGTTGCCCACCCCTGTATTCCCCATGCCACCTGCATCCCCCATACCTCACCATGGCAGATGGAGCTGTTGAAACGGCACCCCACGATCATCCCCTTCGTGATCTACATCGGCAACGAGGCGAAGCACATGGAGCGCTTTGCAGTGCGCGCCAAGTACATGACGCTGGACCCGCGGCGCAACAAGTACGTGCGCTACATGCGCAACATCCGCGCCATTCAGGACTATCTCGTGCGCCGCGCCGACAAGCATCTGATCCCTAAGGTGTGTGCGTCGTACGTGTGGTGCAGTACGGTGGACCCTTTTCTGCAACAAGCACGTGCGCTACATGCGCAACATCCGGGCGATTCAGGACTACCTCGTCCGGCGAGCCGATAAGCACCTTATTCCGGAAGTAGGCTGCATCTGAGAACCTCCTTGTGCACACGGGTCAAGGTGTGCCGGACCTGCGAACCGCAGCTGAACAGCACGACTCGATTCAACACGGCCTGGAGGTTCTCTTCGGATTGAAAGCCCTGCTGCTGAAAGAGCACATGGATGCGGAAGAGGGAGTCCTGGAACCCGCTTCTCCCAGGTGATCAACACGAACATGGACAAGAGCATGGCGGCCACGGTGTTCGCCTGCCTGCTGACAATAGCGACCAGGGCCTCAAGACTTGTTGCTCCCCCAGAACAACTTTCAACCCCCGCCTCTCCCCTCCACCCCCCACACTTCCATCTCCCCCCCCTCTCGCAGGTGAACAACACGAACATGGACAAGAGCGTGGCGGCCATCCACGCCACGGTGTTCGCCTGCCTGCGCCACCGCACAGCGGGGGAGAGCATGTACAGCCGCGCCTCCAACACGCTGCCGCTGCTGCGCCACGAGTACGATGCGCAGTACACCGCATCTGGACTCGGCTCCAAAGGCATGCTCTACGTCATACAGAGAGAAGGCAGTATGAGGGAGGGCAGCCTGAGGGAGGGCAGTCTCAGGGAGGGCAGTGTGCGCTCCTCCGCCTCTGACCCCCCGGATCCGCTCTCTGGTCTGCCCACGCGGGCCGTCAGCCTCCCCACGTACGCCTTTGGTGCTGATAGCATCGTGTCGGGCGCTGCAGCAGCTGCAGGGGAGCCCTACCCGCCTGCTGCTGCCCACACTCGCCTCTCACCGCTCCCACCTGACTTCCCACCTGATGCTTCTCCACACGGTGTCCCACCTGGCACGGAGGCGTCTCAAAGCCACGGCCCGCCCTCCCTGTCAACACTGGCCCCCCAGCCGCCGCGCTCCTTGCGAGTGTCAGAGGGCAGCGCAGGCACCACCTCATGGGGGCGCTCTCTACAAGCAGGCGCAGCTCATGCGTGCGTGTACCCAGAGGAGCTCTCAGACGGGTATGCGTCGGGCTACAGCTCAGGGGTGCCGCCCAGGGGGCCCAGAGGCCGCTTTCCTTCCGCAGCAGTGTCGTTTTCAGCAGGGGCGCAGGGGCTTGCCTGGCAGGCAGGCTACGGGCAGGTGCCACCTCCCCCAGTCGTTGCCATCCCCCTGCTGAACCTCTCGGAAACCCCATCGGCGACAGAAGGGTCGCTGGAGTCGCCCAGTGCGCTGCTGAGCTCCGGCGTGAGTGCGTGCTCTACGCCCAGAGTAGGTGCTCCTGGTGCAGGTGCATCTGTAGGGGCATCTGGTGGCGGTGGTGGCACTGTGGGTGCCTCTGGTGGCGGTGGTGGCAGCGTGCTGGCGCCCATCCACGTGCGCTTCAGCGGCCGCACGGCCTTCCCCCGCAGCGCTGACGTGGGCAGCAGCAGCGGGGGCGAGGGTCTGGCGGAGCGGGAGAGGGAGAGGAGGGCGAGAGGAGGTGCGGCAGCAGCAGCGGGAGGAGCGATGGGAGAGGATGGGGCGATGGGGGGGATGGGGATGGGGCGGCTGGCGAAGGCGATGGACGGGGTGAGGATGAGCGGAGGAGGGCAGTTTGCAGCGCACATGCCCAGCTTCTACGGCTCGCCTGCCACCCGCACGCACGCCCTGCAGAAGAAGGAAGAGGTGCGCCCGCTGTGCCTTGTCTGGATTCCCTTGCATTTCTTCTTCACTCTCTGCTCTCTGCAGTCCGTGTGTGCACATGTACAGGCACGCAATCAATGTGTTTGCTGCCCACTCTTCCGGCATTCTGTGTGGGCACAGGCATTGGAGCACATGGCCACATCAGGCAGCGTTGGCAAGAATGGGACAGATGAGGAGCAAGTTAGATGACAACCAGACAACATTCACCTGTGCTCGTCCTCCCTCCCCCCTCCTCGTGTGAAGCCACAGGTATCAGAGCACATAACGGCATCAGGCAGTGCCAGCGTGTGTTTGACATAGACTCCTCTGCACCCCCCCCTCCCCCCCCCTCGCCGTGGCAAGCCACAGGTATCGGAGCACGTGGCGGCATCAGGCAGTGCCAGCGTATGTTTGACATAGACGCCTCTGCCCCCACCCCCCCTGTGGCAAGCCACAGGTATCAGAGCACGTGGCGGCGTCGGACAGTGTCAGCATGTGGTTTAGATAGCCCTCCCCCTCCTCCTCTCTCGCCCTCCCGGCAAGCCACAGGTATCGGAGCACGTGGCGGCGTCGGACAGCGATGACGACGAGGAGCACATGCGGGATGCTGCTGACGTCAGCTCCAATGCTGCCTTCTCCTCCGAAGGCTCTGAGCACGACGAGGAGGTGAGGGGATGAGGAGGTGAGGGGATGAGGAGGTGAGGGGATGAGGAGGTGAGGGGATGAGGAGGTGAGGGGATGAGGAGGTGAGGGGATGAGGAGGTGAGGGGATGAAGAGGTGAGGGGATGAGGGGGTGAGGGGATGAGGAGGTGAGGGGATGAGGAGGTGAGCAATGAGGCTGTAAGCATTGTGATGCGTATGTTGTGCAAGAGGAGGTGGACACATGCAATGCAAGGAGGGAGCCCCAGGGCAACTGTAAGCCGGTTTTCTGGTTTTTGAATTCTACCGGGAAGGTAACTTGTGTCCCCACTTGCTTTACTCGAACTCAGATGCCAGGTGCCACCGTCAGTGCTCAGTCTCAGCACTGACCCCTCCGTACCATTGATGCCCCTGTCTCTGTTCCGCATGCCCTGCGTGTCCCCACTGTCAAACTCATTGGCCCTCAGGAGGGGTCGGTGGCGAGTGACGAGTCGTTCAGCCTGTCGGAGGGCGGCACGGACGATGACGACATGGGCGAGGGCGACAGCGCACAGCCCCTCCCCCACCACCTCTCGCTCTCCGCTGCTGCTGTGCCGCCGGGCGGCGAGCTCAACGTCTTCCTTGACGCCGCTAGCCTGCCCCACGTGCTGCCCTCTGCCTCCTACTATGGCACTCAGGGCACCAACGGGAGTGACGGCACTGTACTCCGTCACCACGCCAGTGCAGCTGTGGGCAATGACGCCATGAGTCACCGTGCTTCTGGGGCTTGGGGGAACTACATCGTACTGCAACAAGGGGCGGCCGGATATGCAGACCGGACAGCAGGTGCTTCAGCAGCAGCATCTGCTGCTCCAGTGGGCCGTTCACAGTCATTGCAGCACACTGCGGGCCGTAATCAACCCCCACTCCATCTGCACCGCGTGCCCTCGGCACCCGGTGCTGCTTCAGGTGCTTTTTCAGGTGCCGCTTCCCGTGCCGGCCTGCCTCCCTGGCCCACAGGTCACTCCGCATCTCCTGCCCACTTCCAGCGCCGTGGGGGGGAACCCTTGCCGGCTGCTCCGCATGCCTTTCCTCCCACGGCAGTTGCCAATTCAGGTGCCGGGCCCGCTGCAGCTGCTTCATCAGCTGCGGCCACGGCAGCAGCAGGGGCCTCCAGGGCGCAAGGGGGCCGCGAGTGGGGCGCAGGCAGGCGAGCAGGTGCAGGTGCAGGTGTGGTGCTGGGAAGGTCCAAGTCCATGGGTGGGATGAGGGAGAGAGACGCCGGGGTGAGGGAGGTCGGGGAGAGGGAGGCAGGGCGCATGCGTGTGAGGCCGTCACGGCCGGGGGCTGCAAGGCGGTTCTCAGACACGGGTGCAGCGAGCAGAAGGGGATGGGCCGTGCTCGAGACGACTCTGGAGGGCGGCGGGGGCGGGCAGGGCAGTGCCTTAGTGCTTCAAGAGAGCATGCAGCCAGGTGGGATTGCAGTGCAGCAAGAGAGACACATGGCACAGCATCAGCAGCAGCAGCAGCAGCGGCGGCAGCAGCCACAAACTGGCGGGGAATAGGTGTAATAGAATACCGTGATCTCCCGGTTACAAGACCCCCCCGCGTACAAGCCCCGTGGGTCTTCTATCCGGACCAAGGGTCTTTTATTAAGTCAGTCCTGGAGAGGACCCGCCTTTTGACCCCATTCATTATAAGACCCCCCCTCTTTTGCATGGGTGGTGTTTAACCGGTGAGATGCTTAGCGAGTCGCATTAAAAAAACACCAGATTCACGTTGTGGGCGAATTCGTGGTCAATGGAGTCATGATGCCACGTCGATCATGCGCTTTTGCCGCCCGTCACGCGAGAAATGCTGACGTACCTGTCACAATTGGGCATTACAGGAGGTGTGACGCGTGGCAACCAGGGCCCACGTTATCAGTGTAAATCACCCTGATGCCCTGATTAGAAGGGTGATTTTTGGTAGTAACACTGATGCTGTTGGGTAAATTTTTCGGGACCTTGATTTACCCTGATGTGCCAGGTTTTAAGATTAAGGAACACTGTCGCCTCAGGGTTGCCGTTCCGCTTATCGAGGTTTACCCTGAAGCGCGTACCAGCGAACTCCCACCCCCCCCCCCCCCCCCCCCCCCCGTCCCCTAACCACCCGACCCCGGAACCAGGATTTTCCCTTTGCCAACTGTCGAAAATGTAGATTTCGGCAGGACTTTACGTGTGCTGGAACGAGGTGGGCCACCATTGGCCAGAAATACAGTTTCTTTCGAGGCAAGGAGAAAGTGCCGGAGCCAGAGGAGGACAGTGACCACGAGCAACAACCTTGTGGCATGTCTGATGATGATGATTGAGCTTGTTATTGTGTGCTGTGTTACAAGAACAACTGAAACAGGGTTTTGCGAATTGGTACACTGATGCCTCAGGGTAGTCGTTTTAATATATGCAAAAACCCTGACGCATCAGGTTTTCCACAACGGGTAACCCTGAAAATCAGGTTTTTGAACAGGTGCTAGACTGATCGTAAGGGTTGGTCAAAACAAAAAATGAGCCCTGGTGGCAACGATTGATGTGCGCGAAGCGAGAGTGGCGATAGAATTCCGCGTTTTGAGCCGTACTCGAATTCGCAAAAAAAATATTGAAATTCTTCAATACTGGTCTTTACAATCCATTTTTGTGTGATTTATAAATGTCCGGGGGTCTTATGCACTCTATGCCATCAGATAAGACCCCACAGCCCATTTTGAGCACATTTAGGATAAGACCCCCGGGTCTTCTAGGCGGGAGCTCACGGTATTGCGCTGGTGCTTAGTGCACGACAGTCAGGGGTAGTACCCCGTAGTTGCAACGGAGGAAGGTAGTTTACAATTAGGTGTCTGCATGCTGTGCATTGGCAACCAACGAGACTTGCCACAAGGTGTATACCGTACACGATCGTGGTGAGTTTATGATAATGAAGTGTTACCCCTTTTTTTCTATACCGTAGGTCCATGTGCTAGTTGGTGATGCTGCTTGAGAGGGGAACATAATCGCCATGTATATAGGACCGTATGTGAAATGTTGCCTTCTGTTACGGTAAGTACCTTAGGATGGTGGTGGTAGTTTATTTGTACATTTTTACCCAACCCTTGATGCATCACAACACCAACATATGCAATCCATCCATGCTTTGTTGGCACGAGCATCATTGCTGCTGCTACCGTCATCCCCCGGATAAAAGACGTATATGTCTTATCTTATACACTAGAAACAATGTTAGAGCGTATTCCTATCATCGTATCAAGAGAACCTCATATCAAGATTGTACTTTTTGCCTGGTGAACTAGCGAGAGGTTTTGGGTTTAGAGGAATTTCCTGTGGGAGGTTGATATGAGGTTCTCCTGATACGAGGATAGGAATACGCTCTTAGGGTTGTCTTGTATTTGGGATGTTTTAGGTGTCTTAACGGTCTTATCAATAGAAACATTTTACAATACTTCGAATTATTCACACATATCTTGAAACGAGTTTCCGTATGAGCGTGGATGTTGGCAACATTGTTAGTCACGCCATATCATGAAGAATGCATGTTGAGGTGGATTCTGTAATACACGACTCAGCAATAGGTCGAATTCGCGTTTCACGCGTGTAAAAATGTACCCTCTATTTCAATTTTCAATATACTATATTGTGATTTCGATTATAAGACACATATGTTTTGTTGCAGTTAGTGGGAATTAGATCGAGCATTCCCGTAGGTGCACTTGTATCGCTCCCGCTACTACCAAAGCAGCAACACCTGTCAAACTCATATGTTGCTTATTGTGTAGGCTGTAGTGGGGTAGCCTATATGGGGTACAACCCAATTCGGGTTTCCTACTTGTACCCATCTTGCTGCTAGTTCATTCATTCCTGCTCGTTAGTTTCTGACATGGTTTCAGAGCAGTAGGTCCGTAGGACCGTTTTTTTTTCCGGGCCCACCATTACCTAGTGACCGACTGCGGTTACCGCGTTACCCCACGCCCTGCCCTGCGCTGCGCCGTCAGCTGCCCTGCCCTGCCTTGCGTCGCGCTGCCCCGCGTACGCCATGTGCCAAATATAGTCGAATCTCGAACAAAGTGTACAATTACGAGTGACATAGTTTAACCTGAGAAAAGTGTACGCAACCTGGCATGCACCTGAATAGCGCGCCTCGACTAAGTTGCATGCACCTGAAAATGGCCGTTTGTATCGTGCTCAACTGTCCCTTGGGCGAAGTTGAGCTGGAGGTCTAGCGCTCACTTTTTTTAGCAGCGCTTCGGTGACGTGTCGCGCTGTGAAGTGACTGAAACCGGGTAACCTACAGTCCCTATATGCGGCTCGGTTCCCCCCCCTGTAAATTCGAACTCGCAAATTCGCACCTACGTGTGTGATTGTGAATCTACAAGCATTGTCACCCGCGGTTCGAACATTGCCACAACTCAAATTCGAGTCAAGTTCAGGTTATAAAACCCTGCTTAAATCGAGTAAAAAACGTAAACTTTCTAAAACCCCTGTTTCACACACGCCCTTACAATTCGTCAGCGACGTCAGCGTGTAAAACTGAAATTGACAGCCCTGCTCTCGACACTCCCCCCTGACATCACTAGTGAGCAATTTTCTACGTTGCAAAATTACACTAACTCCGAGGTCACCTTGAGGAACCTAGCTAGACTGCACTATCGAATGTGTCAGAATTAACTGTTGTCGACAGGAAATCAGAACGATGCAGAGCAGTGGCGGACTGTGCGCACGATGAGCACATCGTGTGACATCAACAGCGTCGGACACAAGGTTCGATTCACAACACCAGTTGAATTGCCGCAGCGCGAATGCGACGATCGGATCGAAAGTTAGACTGAGTACTGAAATCTGCTATGAGATAAACCGTCAGTTTCACGAAATCATAGTTGCTTCCAGATGTCAAAAGAGTCCTTCCTTTAAAGCCAGGGTCTCATGTAAAACTTTGGGCAACAACTGCAAAGCACTTGATTGAAGTGGTTACCTTGTGACTCAAAACGACGCGGGGGTTTGGTTGGAAGTACAGAAACCTACCTTGCGACACCCAAAACACACCAAGCGACTGACGCCCAACACTACTGGTCGCACGCACACTCAACCACAAACACACTCAAATGCAACTGCACAACAAGCACTGCCTTACATGAGACCATGACTGCGCCTAGTGTGAAACCCACTCGCCGCCTCCCAGGCGATTAGCGTAGCAACCCAAGCACACAAACTACTAACGACCGTCCCGACGCGCACACGTCCTTTCCACTACCCCGCGCGATAAACACATCGAAATTCGTCCAGACCAAGGCGGGGAATCAACAATGCGCCACGGGAGGCGCCGTAGGCGCAATGCACACGAAGCAGCCCACAGTCGCGCAATGACCGAAAACCAAGGTTCCAACGTGCAGGTAGGCAGCGACACGACGAGTAGGCAAGCTTAGCCTAAAGTCTGGGGTACACCATCACAGAGCGACGACCCTGACCGAGTTCGCGACCAGCATCGTGCACATCCGCAGGAGCGTGCGCGTTCCAGCGGAAGGAGGTCCCATATCGCGCCAAGCATGCATTGCTGGACATAAAAAAAAGACCGCCGAAAGGGGAGTGCAATACAACAAGGGCTGATGCCGAGCTTCTCGGACAAAAGCATACGCTAGACGGGAATGCCTATCACGCAAATGACCCAGCACCGCGCAAACCAGGCCAGCGCCGCGCATATCAGGGCAGCGCCGCGCATATCTGGACAGCGCCGCGCATATCTGGACAGCGCCGCGCATATCTGGACATTCCCGCCTGGTCCGCACTCTCACATTCCCGCCTGTCCCGCACTCTCGCTCACCCCCCTGTTCCGCACTCTCACATTCCCCCCTGTTCCGCACTCTCACATTCCCCCCTGTCTCTCACTCTCGCATACCCACCTGCCTGTCATAGGCACTCACACATTCCCTCGTGTCCAGCACTCTCCCATTCCCACGGGCCCAGCACCCTAACATTCCCTCCTATCCCGCACTCTCACATCCCCTCCTCGCCCGCACTCTCTCATTCCCTCCTATCCCGCACTCTCTCATCCCCTCCTCTCCCGCACTCTCTCGTTCCCCCCTATCCCGCACTCTCTCATCCCCTCCTCTCCCGCACTCTCTCATTCCCTCCTATCCCGCACTCTCTCATTCCCTCCTATCCCGCACTCCCTCATTCCCTCCTATCCCGCACTCTCTCATTCCCTCCTATCCCGCACTCCCTCATTCCCTCCTATCCCGCACTCTCTCATTCCCTCCTATTCCGCCCTCCCTCATTCAGGCCTGTCCCGCACTCTCGCATACCCCTTCCTGGCCCACTCACATACCCCCTCACCCGCACTCACACATTCCCCCCTGTTCCGCACTCTCACAGTCCAGCCTGGACCGCACCGCACTCTCGCATTCCCCCCTCTTCCGCACTCTCACATACCCCCCTGTTCCGCACTCCCACCCTCCTTCCTGTTCGCACTCTCACACTCCCTTTCCCCACCCCCCACCCCTTTACCTCCTTTTATGCCCCCTTGTGATGCCATCCCCTTGTGATGCCCGCACTGTTTTCCTATCACCAGCCGCTTTTGGGTCTGTGTGTGACCCTGTGACTCTACCGTGGTTGTTTGTGAGTTCATTCGCAGGGGAGGATGCAGATACCGTGGCCCATGCCTCATGCAAAACACTCCCTCCTCCCATTCCCCACCCCTTCCACCTTTTTCATCGCTTACAAACGCCGTACATAGCCTACTGGATTATCATCTCGACGCAGATGAACCTTCTCGCAAAGTGGTTGGCAGCAAACGTGGCTCTGTACGTTCACTCCAACAGTCCCATGCGAGATACGTCAGCAGCAGGGAGAAAACGGTGTGAAAGCGGCGAGACAAGTCTGTCTTTGCCAATGAGACGCATGAACTCCATTGGGTATTGGCCAGGTGGTGTACCTATCCCGCAAATTCAGTGTAGCAGGCAAAGCTTGAAACGGTTATGACCGTCGAAATGCTGTTAGGAGTGCACAGTTGGCGATGAAGATGCGGGGATAAAGGCTCCACAGGACGTGCCTATTGCTGCATCTGCCGCTGTGAGTGCGCCTCTTCCGCTACCCAGGCTGAGGAGAGCAAGAGCAGCAGCGACGACGAAGTGGGAATCGGATTCGGTACACCTTTTGAAGATGGCGGCGCAGAAGCTTTGCCACGGAAACAATGGCGAACCACGGACGGCAGTGCGGCAACAAGGAAGGGGCAGCAGGAGAGCAGGGGCTAAAGTGGAACCCGAGAAGCTGCAGGTGCTGTCACGGGCAGACATGTTGCACTACGTGGATGTAAGAGACGCGTGGGACCGGCAAGAGTGCGAGTGCTGCTTCGACCGCGCCGTGAGCTACCGCGCACAGCTCGCACTTCGCATGGTGGGCCTATCAGGATTCCGTTCCCTCCTTCTGATGCGCCTGCCCGACTCCATCCCGCTTGTCCCTTTCAATCAACCACCCAGCGCCATTGTCGAGTACTCTGCAGGAGTACACATGAAGCCTCTGGAGGGTCTGTCGCCACCTCAGCCAGTGTTGGGCGTGAAGTGTGTGGTGGCGCCGATGCGCTGTGCCGAGGCAATGATTGTCGAGTGGATGGCGGAGCCTCGAGTGGGCGTGCTCATGGACCTGGGGAGGATCAGATCCCGCCTGCCTGCCATTCTGGCTGCTACAGATGCTGCTACAACTACAGGAGCGCCTCCTGCAACACCTGCTGCATCTGCTGCCGCTAGAGGAACCTGGGCTACTCGCTGGGCTGCCTACCGCCGTGCTGTCAGCTTCGCTGCCTTCCTCGTGCTTGTAGCGAGGTGCCCGCGTGTTGTGAACTTAAGGAGGTTGTCTTTGTCTACTCACTCCGCCGCTTATCCGGCTGCCATGCAGCTGGGGGCGGCCAGGCAGATTGAGAACGATTGCTTTGCGTCCATGCTGGTGCAGGTGCTCGGGGTGAAGGAGAGCGTTGAGCTGCAGGAAGGGTTTGGGTTCTTCGTGCAGCATGTGCTGTCAGGCGGACTGGAGAAGGCGCACGCGGAGGGGAGGGGCGCAGCTGAGGGGGAGACTGCTGGGAGTGCGCAGGGTGAGGAGGCACAGGCGGGTGGCGAGGTGATGGATTGGGGTGGGCGCATGGAAATGGAGGAGAAGCAGGGGGATGACCTGTCAAAGGTGATTGCGACACAGGTTGGTGGTGGTGGTGTGAGGGACAGAGGGTACGAAGGGGAACCGAAGCATAGCAGCAAGGCGAGCAGAGGGGAAGAGAGGCGACGCGGCGAGGCGAATCATTCAGTTGCTGGGGAGGGTGGCAGAGGGGGGAAGAATGGAAAGTGGAGGGAGAATCTGAAGGGGCGTGAATGGGAGAGGTACGTGGATGGCATAGCTTGGATTCTGGCGCATGGAGAGGGGGAAGGGAGGGAGTTTAGATGCAGGCACTGCAGTGAGGAGGGCAGGCACTGCAGTGAGGAGGGCAGGCACTGCAGTGAGGAGGGCAGGCACTGCAGTGAGGAGGGCAGGCACTGCAGTGAGGAGGGCAGGCACTGCAGTGAGGAGGGCAGGCACTGCAGTGAGGAGGGCAGGCACTGCAGTGAGGAGGGCAGGCACTGCAGTGAGGAGGGCAGGCACTGCAGTGAGGAGGGCAGGCACTGCAGTGAGGAGGGCAGGCACTGCAGTGAGGAGGGCAGGCACTGCAGTGAGGAGGGCAGGCACTGCAGTGAGGAGGGCAGGCACTGCAGTGAGGAGGGCAGGCACTGCAGTGAGGAGGGCAGGCACTGCAGTGAGGAGGGCAGGCACTGCAGTGAGGAGGGCAGGCACTGCAGTGAGGAGGGGGGCAGCAACAGTGGCGGTGATGTGCAATTGAAAGGTATTCCCAAGGGCATGTATGTGAGTGGGGTAAGCGCCACGGAGTTCGCTCTTGCTTTGGCCGTGGAGCTGTCTAAGCCAGAGAGCTGCATGGAGGCGGTTCTATACATGCTGGATGGGAACAATGCCAACAAGGTGAGAGTGGAAGAGGCAGCAATCGAGGAGGCTAGAAGCAGGCTGAGAAGAGGAGTAGGTGGAAAGGGCAGAAAATGGGATTCAGGAGGAATAGGAGGAGGCACGAGAGGGGCAGCAGCAGACACGAGAGGGGCAGCAGCAGACACACGTAGGTCAGCGGAAGCATCAGCGATGGGGGATGCATCTGTTTCCAGTGCTGCTGCTCCAGCTGAAACCCGACCCTCTACACGAGTAGACGGCACTGGCAGCAGCTACGCTTCTGGTCTCGTGCCGATAAATACAAGTCCTGTCCTCGCAGCCTTCACGTATCGAGTTGCCCGCATCCTCCACTGGGTTCGATTCTACGGCTCGGATATCCTCTTCGTAAAAGGATGCTCCAGGAGTAGGCAGCAGAAAGGGATCCTGCAAATGCCCCATCCGTTTCGAGACCTGCCAAGCCTGCTGCTCAGGCTCGGCGCCATCCCGAAGCCTCTTGATGATGCTACTTTTCCAATGGAGTGGGAGGAATGGTCGCATGGAGATGGAGTGGGAGGAATGGTCGCATGGAGATGGAGTGGGAGGAATGGTCGCATGGAGATGGAGTGGGAGGAATGGTCGCATGGAGATGGAGTGGGAGGAATGGTCGCATGGAGATGGAGTGGGAGGAATGGTCGCATGGAGATGGAGTGGGAGGAATGGTCGCATGGAGATGGAGTGGGAGGAATGGTCGCATGGAGATGGAGTGGGAGGAATGGTCGCATGGAGATGGAGTGGGAGGAATGGTCGCATGGAGATGGAGTGGGAGGAATGGTCGCATGGAGATGGAGTGGGAGGAATGGTCGCATGGAGATGGAGTGGGAGGAATGGTCGCATGGAGATGGAGTGGGAGGAATGGTCGCATGGAGATGGAGTGGGAGGAATGGTCGCATGGAGATGGAGTGGGAGGAATGGTCGCATGGAGATGGAGTGGGAGGAATGGTCGCATGGAGATGGAGTGGGAGGAATGGTCGCATGGAGATGGAGTGGGAGGAATGGTCGCATGGAGATGGAGTGGGAGGAATGGTCGCATGGAGATGGAGTGGGAGGAATGGTCGCATGGAGATGGAGTGGGAGGAATGGTCGCATGGAGATGGAGTGGGAGGAATGGTCGCATGGAGATGGAGTGGGAGGAATGGTCGCATGGAGATGGAGTGGGAGGAATGGTCGCATGGAGATGGAGTGGGAGGAATGGTCGCATGGAGATGGAGTGGGAGGAATGGTCGCATGGAGATGGAGTGGGAGGAATGGTCGCATGGAGATGGAGTGGGAGGAATGGTCGCATGGAGATGGAGTGGGAGGAATGGTCGCATGGAGATGGAGTGGGAGGAATGGTCGCATGGAGATGGAGTGGGAGGAATGGTCGCATGGAGATGGAGTGGGAGGAATGGTCGCATGGAGATGGAGTGGGAGGAATGGTCGCATGGAGATGGAGTGGGAGGAATGGTCGCATGGAGATGGAGTGGGAGGAATGGTCGCATGGAGATGGAGTGGGAGGAATGGTCGCATGGAGATGGAGTGGGAGGAATGGTCGCATGGAGATGGAGTGGGAGGAATGGTCGCATGGAGATGGAGTGGGAGGAATGGTCGCATGGAGATGGAGTGGGAGGAATGGTCGCATGGAGATGGAGTGGGAGGAATGGTCGCATGGAGATGGAGTGGGAGGAATGGTCGCATGGAGATGGAGTGGGAGGAATGGTCGCATGGAGATGGAGTGGGAGGAATGGTCGCATGGAGATGGAGTGGGAGGAATGGTCGCATGGAGATGGAGTGGGAGGAATGGTCGCATGGAGATGGAGTGGGAGGAATGGTCGCATGGAGATGGAGTGGGAGGAATGGTCGCATGGAGATGGAGTGGGAGGAATGGTCGCATGGAGATGGAGTGGGAGGAATGGTCGCATGGAGATGGAGTGGGAGGAATGGTCGCATGGAGATGGAGTGGGAGGAATGGTCGCATGGAGATGGAGTGGGAGGAATGGTCGCATGGAGATGGAGTGGGAGGAATGGTCGCATGGAGATGGAGTGGGAGGAATGGTCGCATGGAGATGAAGCTGTTGCGAAGCTTCCTGATGACTCCGATGCGAGATTCTTTCAACTGGGTATTGTGGAGGAGAGTGCAACGGGAGTGGAGCACGGGCAGAGGGTAACGGAACAAGATTTAAAGTCTAGGAGGAAGCACAATAGGGAGAAGGGCCGAAGAGCCAAGGCATCTGGCCAAGGAGGTGACGTCAGAGGGGGTGATGCGAAGAGAGGGTCTGGGGAAGACCAACGAGGCATTTCACATGCAGCATCCGGCATGGCTGTTGGGCAGCCGACTGCGAGAGGAGAGGTGCCCATCATCCGGTGCGTGGAGGATGCAGAGTTCATTGTGGACGCCATCAGCCTCGTTGCGGGTCCACCCGCATGCGCCACCTGCATCTGCTGCTACCGCAGCTACACCTCCTTCATCCCATCCATCGCTCTCGTCGCCAAGTTTGCCTACCGCCCCCTCAGTGTCCTCGTCAACCGCTTTCTGTCCGTCTTCCCGCCGCACTCCGCTGAGTTTGATAAGCTTGTGAGGGTTATGGGGTTGTCGCCGTTTCCCCCAGGACCACCAGCGCGGGCCAACCTGGCGAGGCTGCGTGGGGAGATAGCGGCGGAGCGCCTTGGCTTCTTCATGTTCACCGCCCTCACGTGGCCGGCGTCCATTCTGGATCTGCCGCAGTTTGAGAGCAAACGGGCGGAGGAGGGGTGTGGGCTTCGAGTGAAGAAGAAGGTGGGTAGGAAGAAAGGGAAGGCACGAGGGGAGGAGGAGGAGGAGGATGATGGGGAGGTGTGGGAGGAGTTGCAGTCGTGGTGCTACACGGCGTCGGTTGCCTGGCCGTCCCTCATGCGTGCTGCGTTAAGCAATCCCGATGGTGAGTCGGCGGGTTCAGGTCTGAGTGGTGTGTGCACGGGCAGTGAGGGGCAGCAGAAGAGGGCAGCGGTGGACACGAGGATAGCTAACATAGCCAACACAGGGGTGTCCAAGAGGATCAGACAACGGTTGCGAGATCGAGCCATGGGGAGAAGCAGCACTAGCAGCGGCGGTCGTGGTGCGGTAATGGGGAGCGGCGCTGCTGGTACTGGCAGCGCCAGAGACGGTAGCAGTGGCAGAGGAGGTGGTGATGGTACCGGCACTAGTAGTGATATAGCTTGTGCTGGTGCCGGTGCTTGTGGTGCTTCTGCTACTGCTGCTGCTGCTGGTGCTGCTGCTGGTGGTGTTGGTGTTGATGGTGGCAAGTACACTGGCCGAAAGGGGAAGAAGCCGGAGCTGCTTCCTTATCTGATTCCATGGCCGGGGGGAGTAAATTTGGTGGCATGTCTGCGGGAGATGTTGCTGGGGGAGCCGTGCTACCGCCACCCCTCCCCAGCTGCCGCTTCCATCCCGCCTGCTGTTGTCAACACCACTGCTGCAGCGCCAACCACAACCGCTTCTGCCACTTCCACCCGTGTTTCTCCAACAAATGCTGTTGCTCCGAACACTGCTGCCTGGTCTACCCACCCACCTGTGCACACCGCTGCTTCCTCGTCCACCCATGATGCCTCGTCAACCCATGATGCCTCGTCAACCCATGATGCCTCGTCCACCCATGATGCCTCGTCAACCCATGATGCCTCGTCCACCCATGATGCCTCGTCCACCCATGATGCCTCGTCAACCCATGATGCCTCGTCCACCCATGATGCCTCGTCCACCCATGATGCCTCGTCAACCCATGATGCCTCGTCCACCCATGATGCCTCGTCCACCCATGATGCCTCGTCAACCCATGATGCCTCGTCAACCCATGATGCCTCGTCCACCCATGTCACCCTACGTAGTGGTGCTTCGACAGGCGCTGCTGCTACAACTGCACCCATAGCAGATGAAGAGGGCTATGGTGTTGATGCTTGCAGGGGAAGTAGGTGCAGTGCTGCGGGGTGTAGGAGTGTGGAGGGCGGTGGTGTGAAGCTGAGGAGCTGCAGTGGGTGTGGCAGGGTGGCATATTGCAGCAGAGAGTGCCAAAAGGGGCACTGGCCCTCCCACAAGCTCACATGCCCTGGCAGGACCAGCATGCAGAGGAGTGGGAAGGTGAGTGGTAAAACAGTGGCAAGGTGAGTGGCAGAAGGAAGGTGAACACAGCAAAAAAGTATCGTAAGGATACCGTATCTGTAACGTATCATGCCTTAAAGCCGGTGTATAATAAATCGGCTTGTCAAGTGAGGAGATGACGCGCTCTGCTAACCATCCTCGCCAAGTTGGTGGGACCCAAGGCTGCGGTGGGGGGATTGCAGTTTGGTGGGTCGGTAAGATTGATTGAAAGGCCTGGAGATGAGGAGGGTAATGTCTGGGGAGATGGGGGGCAGGGGAGGAGAAGTGGGGGTGGGTTGCAATGGAGGGGCGGATCTAGATTTCTCTGGCATTGCGATCTGCCAGTGTGAGCAGAATTGGATTGCCTAGCTGGCTTGCACTTAAAGCCAAGGTCAAAACAAGCGCCTGCTTTCGACACGTTGCAGCAGTACATGTGTGAAGCTAATGCTGCTACTAAGAGCACTGGTCTGGTATGTGTACCTGCTGTTATGTGGTGCTTACTATTGAAAAAATGCTGGCTCATGTGTTTCCTGCTAGCAGATTGGCTGGCATGTCTGTGTCTTGGCAATGACCTGAGTTCAGGTCATACATGCAAGCGGCTGTGGCTGGAACCAAAGTACAACTGGACTGTCGCAAAGCTGCATGCTAGTGTATCACGGTATCTCTGCCATCCTTGTTCATAATCTGTTAATCCTTGTGCAGTGTAGTCACTGCTGTCACTCTATTACCCGTACCGGTAGATTGTGTTCCATCATGGTAGCAAAGTGAACACAATCAAATATCAGGCAGCAACACCTTGAGCGTATCTCAGGTAGGAGGCTTGACCAATACGGTATGAGATTTGGACCTTGAGACACAGTAATGTCACTCTGAGAGATTGGAGCTGGAGCTACGGTCCGGTAAGAGGTCATTACATTCATCTAGGGAACGCAACGATAAATATGACAGAAAACACAGAATGGATGAAACTAAAACCAGAGCGGTTCAAAGAGAGGCCAGCCACAATTGACCTATCTTCTCTTCTCAAGCCTGTGTCTCGAGTATGGTGTCAAATGCAATGGGAATGGGACGGCGTAAGGTGGGGGAGTAGCCGGAGTCACGACTACAGGCAGGCCGCAGGCGTCCCACGAGTGACTCTTATCATCTTCGGGCGTCAGTCGTGAGTTGTGACCAACGAACGGTTCCAGGCCTTGGTTTACTCGCTAGTGTTGAGGAGCGCGTGAGGCGTGTTGGGCGCAGAGAGGCGTGAGCCAGAGGTCAAGGATGGCGAGGGTGACGGGCCACGCGTAGTGCGTGCTGTCGGGACACAGGTCTGGGCGCGGGAGAGTCAGCCCCATCATGCCCAGCGCACTGGGTGCCCCGGGCTGTGTGGAGGGCACCCGCCTGACAGGGGATGGAGGGGGGCGAGAGGGGATGTGAAGGCCAGCAAGCAGAGGGAGCGGCATGATGGTGAGGACGCTCGATGGGTTCCCAGGTGGTTGAAGAGGAGAGAGTGCGGTGAGAAGGTGGAGAGTGCGGTGAAGATTGAATGACAGGGCACCATCAGTGGCAGCATGTCCCGCGCACTGAACGCAGCACTGCAGTATACTGAGTGTGTGGAGGGCATTGGCCGGACGGAGCTATTCTGAAACGGCATGTCTGGCAGACAGTAGAGAGATGGTTGATTCACACACGCAGCATGAGGAGAGAAATGAAGAAATTGACTCAGCACAGACAGATGAACCTAGTGGGACCGGAGCACCTGAAGGCACCTGAAGGCACCTGAAGGCATGTTACACTTTGAGCAGCAGCGCACCTGAGGAGCTCGGCTTCAAACGCCATGGCACGCGCGTTGTTGCTGACGGGGATGAACTCGGGCGGCTTGCTGTCCTCCCTCGCCGCCCACGGCCCCAGTACAGTCACTGCGGAGGGGTCCCTCATGACTGCTAGCAGGGGGAGCAGGTTGGAGTCTGCATGGGGGAGGGAGAAAGAGACGGGCGGGGGAGCAGGATGAGGTAAGCCCACCTCGTCGATACCCTGGCAGAGGGAAGCTCATGGCTGGCAGCAGCGCACGGGGGCAAGATGTGAGGCGCGCTGGACAACCATGAGCATGTCACACATACACACCCATGACACCATGAGCATGTCACACATACACACCCATGACACCATGAGCATGTCACACATACACACCCATGACACCATGAGCATGTCACACATACACACCCATGACACCATGAGCATGTCACACATACACACCCATGACACCATGAGCATGGCCACACATACACACCCATGACACCATGAGCATGTCACACATACACACCCATGACACCATGAGCATGTCACACATACACACCCATGACACCATGAGCATGTCACACATACACACCCATGACACCATGAGCATGTCACACATACACACCCATGACACCATGAGCATGTCACACATACACACCCATGACACCATGAGCATGTCACACATACACACCCATGACACCATGAGCATGTCACACATACACACCCATGACACCATGAGCATGTCACACATACACACCCATGACACCATGAGCATGGCCACACATACACACCCATGACACCATGAGCATGGCCACACCCATGACACCATGAGCATGGCCACACATACACATCCATGACACCATGAGCATGGCCACACCCATGACACCATGAGCATGGCCACACCCATGACACCATGAGCATGGCCACACATACACACCCATGACACCATGAGCATGGCCACACATACACACCCATGACACCATGAGCATGGCCACACATACACACCCATGACACCATGAGCATGGCCACACATACACACCCATGACACCATGAGCATGGCCACACCCATGACACCATAAGCATGGCCACACATACACACCCATGACACCATGAGCATGGCCACACATACACACCCATGACACCATGAGCATGGCCACACATACACACCCATGACACCATGAGCATGGCCACACATACACACCCATGACATACACCTACCCAGGACGACACCTACCCAGGAGGATGTTAAAAAGAAGAAAAAGTATTGATTGTAGGCTCACATGAGCCAAGGAATACAGGCGTGAGCAAAATGGTAATGGATGAGCTTGACCAACTTTAATCGGAGGCCCCAATAATAGTTGGTTTGGCTGGACCAACATATTTGGGGCTCCGATAATTGTTGGAAACCCAACCAAGCTTCAACCACGAATCGTGGTTAAAGATACACCCAAGAACCCTACACCTATTCTAGCATATGTAAGTTGTATAGAAGATTTTTCAACAGAGAGCACCTACCCAGGAGGAGGTCACCTACCCAGGAGAGCACCGAAGGCATGGGCGGTGGGTTGCTGGATGAGGTCGTGCAGAGTGCTGCCCACCAGCGCCATGTCGTACTGCCCCCGCTGCCCCTCCCCCCCGCTGCTGCCACCCCTGCTGCTCTCTTTGCTGCTGCCCTCACCCCTGCTGCTGCCCTCACCACTCCTGCTACTGCTGCCATCCCCACTGCTGTTACTGCTCTCATTGCTGCTGCCAGCAGCGCTCCGTGCACCGTCCCGCGCGTCAAAGAGGGTGAGCTGCAGCCCCACGAGGGCGGGGTCGCTCATCCACGCGGGGAACACGGGCTTCACGGCGCCGCACTGCGACACGTACGTGAGGTTGAAGGCCCAGGGGGGGCTGCCCGCTGCTGCTTTCACCTTGTACCTGGTGGGGCAGATGCGGATGGTGGGGCGGCAGAGCGGTCAGACAGGGGCGGGAAAGAAGGGGATGGGAGCACGGGCTTCATGGCGGCGCTCTGTGAGACACATGTGAGGTTGATGGCCCGTGGGGTCCTGCCCGCTGCTGCCCTCTCCTTGTACCTGGTGGGGCCCATGGGGCAGCCAGGGATGACAGCGCGCCATGGGATGGGACAGAACGGGAGGGGAGGGGAGGGGAGGGGAGGGGATGGGATGGGAGGGGATGGGATGGGATGCAAGGGATGGGATGGGATAAATGGGATGGGATGGGGCACATACAGGGCGCGGCCATAGCCGTTGAAGTTCTCCCCGTGGAAGAAGAAGGCGGAGTCGGGCTGCTGACACACGCCCGTGGAGATGAGCTCGCCCGTGCTGCTGTTGATTGGTGGGTAAATGGACCCGTTGCCACGTGGCACACTGCCACAGGCCAGCATGTTGGGCCAGAACACCTGTGCGAATGGAGTGTATGGTGGAGGGATGTGGAGAGGTGTAGTTACCAATGAATGAAGAGCAGGTGGCATCGGATAGAGATGAAGGGGAAGGAGAGGGGGAGAAAGGCAGAACACTGCTGTGAGAGGCTGTGAAAAGCTGTTGATACAGGACAGGTGCAGCTGTTGCAGTTGTGGCAGCTCGCCTTAGGAAGCAGCATCGAGCCTGATGCCTCCTCACCTTGGCCTCCTCACCTTGCCTCCTCTCCGGAAAAAACGTGAAAGTGTGGCGACTTGGGGGGCACAGCAGCAGCAGCTCACACAATGGTGCGGCGCGCAAGCCGCGTGGAAAATTCATTATCAGAAATGCCTCTCTGTGGCGAGTGGAAGCCGCAGGAAAAGTGCATGAGCCCCAAGGCTTGGCAAACCTGGTGTGCCCGTGCAGCAGTAATACTACCCATCCTACCTTGGGCTTGCCTCCTCACCTTGGGCTTGCCTCCTCACCTTGGGCTTGCCTCCTCACCTTGGGCTTGCCTCCTCACCTTGGGCTTGCCTCCTCACCTTGGGCTTGCCTCCTCACCTTGGGCTTGCCTCCTCACCTTGGGCTTGCCTCCTCACCTTGGGCTTGCCTCCTCACCTTGGGCTTGCCTCCTCACCTTGGGCTTGCCGCCTCACCTTGGGCTTGCCTCCTCACCTTGGGCTTGCCTCCTCACCTTGGGCTTGCCGCCTCACCTTGGGCTTGCCTCCTCACCTTGGCCTTGCCTCCTCACCTTGGGCTTGCCTCCTCACCTTGGGCTTGCCTCCTCACCTTGGGCTTGCCTCCTCACCTTGGGCTTGCCTCCTCACCTTGGGCTTAGCAGCAAACTTGGTGAGGAAGGCAGCGCAGGAGGGGAAGCGCAGGAGGAAGCGCAGGAAGCCGAAGGTGTAGCGCAGCTGGGAGTCCCCGAGGAAGAGCAGCGTGCGGCCGTTGAAGCACGCGTGCAGGGCAGGGGGGGAGAGGCGGCGCAGGCGACACGCGTGGGGCTGCCAGAGGTGGCCCATCCAGTAGCCGGAGTGGTGGGATGCGGAGAGGAGCGGTGGCGTGCAGTAAGGGAGGGTGGTTCTGAAAGGGGGAGAATAGGGGAGAGGGAGGAGGAGAAGAGAGAGAGGTGGCGTTGTGGAAGGATGGGTGCAGAGCGGGAGAGAGGTGTGAGGGGAACGGGGACGAGGGGCAAGCAAGGGAGTTTGTGGAGGGTAAACAGAGGGAGTTTGTGGAGGGAAAACAGAGGGAGGCGAGGTGAGAGGCAGAGAGGGAAGAAGGGAGGTGTTGAGGGACGCGAAGAAGGCATGAGGTGGGGAATATGCATTGGAGAAATGGTTTTGGGCCGGCCGAGCGGTACGATGAGAAGTGTGTGCGGTGGACAGCAGTGCAGAGAGGTGGTAGGCTGAGAGGAGAGCGTTGAGAGACAAGAGCTACAGGAGAGCGTTGAGCGACAAGAGATGATAGAGGAGAGCATTGAGCGACAAGAGATAGAGGAGAGCGTTGAGCGACAAGAGATAGAGGAGAGCGTTGAGCGACAAGAGCTAGAGGAGAGCGTTGAGCGGCAAGAGCTAGAGGAGAGCGTTGAGCGGCAAGAGCTAGAGGAGAGCGTTGAGCGGCAAGAGCTAGAGGAGAGCGTTGAGCGGCAAGAGCTAGAGGAGAGCGTTGAGCGGCAAGAGCTAGAGGAGAGCGTTGAGCGGCAAGAGATAGAGGAGAGCGTTGAGCGGCAAGAGCTAGAGGAGAGCGTTGAGCGGCAAGAGCTAGAGGAGAGCGTTGAGCGGCAAGAGCTAGAGGAGAGCGTTGAGCGGCAAGAGCTAGAGGAGAGCGTTGAGCGGCAAGAGCTAGAGGAGAGCGTTGAGCGGCAAGAGCTAGAGGAGAGCGTTGAGCGGCAAGAGCTAGAGGAGAGCGTTGAGCGGCAAGAGCTAGAGGAGAGCGTTGAGCGGCAAGGGCTAGAGGAGAGCGTTGAGCGGCAAGAGCTAGAGGAGAGCGTTGAGCGGCAAGAGCTAGAGGAGAGCGTTGAGCGGCAAGAGCTAGAGGAGAGCGTTGAGCGGCAAGAGCTAGAGGAGAGCGTTGAGCGGCAAGAGCTAGAGGAGAGCGTTGAGCGGCAAGAGCTAGAGGAGAGCGTTGAGCGGCAAGAGCTAGAGGAGAGCGTTGAGCGGCAAGAGCTAGAGGAGAGCGTTGAGCGGCAAGAGATAGAGGAGAGCGTTGAGCGGCAAGAGCTAGAGGAGAGCGTTGAGCGGCAAGAGATAGAGGAGAGCGTTGAGCGGCAAGAGCTAGAGGAGAGCGTTGAGCGGCAAGAGCTAGAGGAGAGCGTTGAGCGGCAAGAGCTAGAGGAGAGCGTTGAGCGGCAAGAGATAGAGGAGAGCGTTGAGCGGCAAGAGCTAGAGGAGAGCGTTGAGCGGCAAGAGCTAGAGGAGAGCGTTGAGCGGCAAGAGATAGAGGAGAGCGTTGAGCGGCAAGAGCTAGAGGAGAGCGTTGAGCGGCAAGAGATAGAGGAGAGCGTTGAGCGGCAAGAGATAGAGGAGAGCGTTGAGCGGCAAGAGCTAGAGGAGAGCGTTGAGCGGCAAGAGCTAGAGGAGAGCGTTGAGCGGCAAGAGATAGAGGAGAGCGTTGAGCGGCAAGAGATAGAGGAGAGCGTTGAGCGGCAAGAGCTAGAGGAGAGCGTTGAGCGGCAAGAGCTAGAGGAGAGCGTTGAGCGGCAAGAGATAGAGGAGAGCGTTGAGCGGCAAGAGATAGAGGAGAGCGTTGAGCGGCAAGAGATAGAGGAGAGCGTTGAGCGGCAAGAGATAGAGGAGAGCGTTGAGCGGCAAGAGATAGAGGAGAGCGTTGAGCGGCAAGAGCTAGAGGAGAGCGTTGAGCGGCAAGAGCTAGAGGAGAGCGTTGAGCGGCAAGAGCTAGAGGAGAGCGTTGAGCGGCAAGAGCTAGAGGAGAGCGTTGAGCGGCAAGAGATAGAGGAGAGCGTTGAGCGGCAAGAGCTAGAGGAGAGCGTTGAGCGGCAAGAGCTAGAGGAGAGCGTTGAGCGGCAAGAGCTAGAGGAGAGCGTTGAGCGGCAAGAGATAGAGGAGAGCGTTGAGCGGCAAGAGCTAGAGGAGAGCGTTGAGCGGCAAGAGATAGAGGAGAGCGTTGAGCGGCAAGAGCTAGAGGAGAGCGTTGAGCGGCAAGAGCTAGAGGAGAGCGTTGAGCGGCAAGAGATAGAGGAGAGCGTTGAGCGGCAAGAGCTAGAGGAGAGCGTTGAGCGGCAAGAGCTAGAGGAGAGCGTTGAGCGGCAAGAGCTAGAGGAGAGCGTTGAGCGGCAAGAGCTAGAGGAGAGCGTTGAGCGGCAAGAGCTAGAGGAGAGCGTTGAGCGGCAAGAGCTAGAGGAGAGCGTTGAGCGGCAAGAGCTAGAGGAGAGCGTTGAGCGGCAAGAGCTAGAGGAGAGCGTTGAGCGGCAAGAGCTAGAGGAGAGCGTTGAGCGGCAAGAGCTAGAGGAGAGCGTTGAGCGGCAAGAGCTAGAGGAGAGCGTTGAGCGGCAAGAGCTAGAGGAGAGCGTTGAGCGGCAAGAGCTAGAGGAGAGCGTTGAGCGGCAAGAGCTAGAGGAGAGCGTTGAGCGGCAAGAGCTAGAGGAGAGCGTTGAGCGGCAAGAGCTAGAGGAGAGCGTTGAGCGGCAAGAGCTAGAGGAGAGCGTTGAGCGGCAAGAGCTAGAGGAGAGCGTTGAGCGGCAAGAGCTAGAGGAGAGCGTTGAGCGGCAAGAGCTAGAGGAGAGCGTTGAGCGGCAAGAGCTAGAGGAGAGCGTTGAGCGGCAAGAGATAGAGGAGAGCGTTGAGCGGCAAGAGCTAGAGGAGAGCGTTGAGCGGCAAGAGCTAGAGGAGAGCGTTGAGCGGCAAGAGCTAGAGGAGAGCGTTGAGCGGCAAGAGCTAGAGGAGAGCGTTGAGCGGCAAGAGCTAGAGGAGAGCGTTGAGCGGCAAGAGCTAGAGGAGAGCGTTGAGCGGCAAGAGCTAGAGGAGAGCGTTGAGCGGCAAGAGCTAGAGGAGAGCGTTGAGCGGCAAGAGCTAGAGGAGAGCGTTGAGCGGCAAGAGCTAGAGGAGAGCGTTGAGCGGCAAGAGCTAGAGGAGAGCGTTGAGCGGCAAGAGCTAGAGGAGAGCGTTGAGCGGCAAGAGCTAGAGGAGAGCGTTGAGCGGCAAGAGCTAGAGGAGAGCGTTGAGCGGCAAGAGCTAGAGGAGAGCGTTGAGCGGCAAGAGCTAGAGGAGAGCGTTGAGCGGCAAGAGCTAGAGGAGAGCGTTGAGCGGCAAGAGCTAGAGGAGAGCGTTGAGCGGCAAGAGCTAGAGGAGAGCGTTGAGCGGCAAGAGCTAGAGGAGAGCGTTGAGCGGCAAGAGCTAGAGGAGAGCGTTGAGCGGCAAGAGCTAGAGGAGAGCGTTGAGCGGCAAGGGCTAGAGGAGAGCGTTGAGCGGCAAGGGCTAGAGGAGAGCGTTGAGCGGCAAGGGCTAGAGGAGAGCGTTGAGCGGCAAGGGATAGAGGAGAGCGTTGAGCGGCAAGGGCTAGAGGAGAGCGTTGAGCGGCAAGGGATAGAGGAGAGCGTTGAGCGGCAAGAGATAGAGGAGAGCGTTGAGCGGCAAGAGATAGAGGAGAGCGTTGAGCGGCAAGAGCTAGAGGAGAGCGTTGAGCGGCAAGCGATAGAGGAGAGCGTTGAGCGGCAAGAGCTAGAGGAGAGCGTTGAGCGGCAAGAGCTAGAGGAGAGCGTTGAGCGGCAAGAGCTAGAGGAGAGCGTTGAGCGGCAAGAGCTAGAGGAGAGCGTTGAGCGGCAAGAGCTAGAGGAGAGCGTTGAGCGGCAAGAGCTAGAGGAGAGCGTTGAGCGGCAAGCGATAGAGGAGAGCGTTGAGCGGCAAGAGCTAGAGGAGAGCGTTGAGCGGCAAGAGCTAGAGGAGAGCGTTGAGCGGCAAGAGCTAGAGGAGAGCGTTGAGCGGCAAGCGATAGAGGAGAGCGTTGAGCGGCAAGAGCTAGAGGAGAGCGTTGAGCGGCAAGAGCTAGAGGAGAGCGTTGAGCGGCAAGAGCTAGAGGAGAGCGTTGAGCGGCAAGAGCTAGAGGAGAGCGTTGAGCGGCAAGAGCTAGAGGAGAGCGTTGAGCGGCAAGAGCTAGAGGAGAGCGTTGAGCGGCAAGAGCTAGAGGAGAGCGTTGAGCGGCAAGAGCTAGAGGAGAGCGTTGAGCGGCAAGAGCTAGAGGAGAGCGTTGAGCGGCAAGAGCTAGAGGAGAGCGTTGAGCGGCAAGAGCTAGAGGAGAGCGTTGAGCGGCAAGAGATAGAGGAGAGCGTTGAGCGGCAAGAGATAGAGGAGAGCGTTGAGCGGCAAGAGATAGAGGAGAGCGTTGAGCGGCAAGAGATAGAGGAGAGCGTTGAGCGGCAAGCGATAGAGGAGAGCGTTGAGCGGCAAGCGATAGAGGAGAGCGTTGAGCGGCAAGCGATAGAGGAGAGCGTTGAGCGGCAAGAGATAGAGGAGAGCGTTGAGCGGCAAGCGATAGAGGAGAGCGTTGAGCGGCAAGCGATAGAGGAGAGCGTTGAGCGGCAAGCGATAGAGGAGAGCGTTGAGCGGCAAGCGATAGAGGAGAGCGTTGAGCGACAAGCGATAGAGGAGAGCGTTGAGCGGCAAGGGATAGAGGAGAGCGTTGAGCGACAAGAGATAGAGGAGAGCGTTGAGCGACAAGGGATAGAGGAGAGCGTTGAGCGACAAGAGATAGAGGAGAGCGTTGAGCGACAAGGGATAGAGGAGAGGCGTTGAGAGACAAGGGATAGAGGAGAGCGTTGAGAGACAAGGGATAGAGGAGAGCGTTGAGCGACAAGAGATAGAGGAGAGCGTTGAGAGACAAGGGATAGAGGAGAGCGTTGAGAGACAGGGATAGAGGAGAGCGTTGAGAGACAAGGGATAGAGGAGAGCGTTGAGAGACAAGGGATAGAGGAGAGCGTTGAGAGACAGGGATAGAGGAGAGCGTTGAGAGACAAGGGATTAGTGGAGAGCGTTGAGAGACAAGGGATAGAGGAGAGCGTTGAGAGACAAGAGATAGAGGAGAGCGTTGAGAGACAAGGGATTAGTGGAGAGCGTTGAGAGACAAGAGATAGAGGAGAGCGTTGAGAGACAAGAGATAGAGGAGAGCGTTGAGAGACAAGAGATAGAGGAGAGCGTTGAGAGACAAGGGATTAGTGGAGAGCGTTGAGAGACAAGGGATTAGTGGAGAGCGTTGAGAGACAAGAGATAGAGGAGAGCGTTGAGAGACAAGAGATAGAGGAGAGCGTTGAGAGACAAGAGATAGAGGAGAGCGTTGAGAGACAAGGGATTAGTGGAGAGCGTTGAGAGACAAGAGATAGAGGAGAGCGTTGAGAGACAAGAGATAGAGGAGAGCGTTGAGAGACAAGAGATAGAGGAGAGCGTTGAAGTGCGGTGAGGACACATGCGACACACTGCAGCAGTCCCCTGCACGCCCCATGAAATGGCATGGCATGTGACGGCAAGGCACCTGTGTGCGTGAAGGGAGAAGGTGGGCGGCGCTGATGCTTGAATGGCTTGCGACTGCACCACCGTGTAGCTGCAGTGGCGGCAATGGGGGAGGAAAGGGGGAAGAAAGGGGGAGGAAAGGGGGAGGAATCGGATAAATGGGAAGCGATGAAGGGAAGTTGATGGCGATACAGCGGCACCGAGTGCATGTTGACCTGGGAATGCCACGCATGCACCCACGTGTGAGCCACGAGTGTGGCCTCTCAGAATCAGTTCAGTTGTTTCACAACCCTCCTAGGCACCTGCGTGAACCTCCAAGGAACCTGCACATCCCCGCATGAACCTGCACATCCCCGCATGAACCTGCACATCCCCGCATGAACCTGCACATCCCCGCATGAACCTGCACATCCCCGCATGAACCTGCACATCCCCGCATGAACCTGCACATCCCCGCATGAACCTGCACATCCCCGCATGAACCTGCACATCCCCGCATGAACCTGCACATCCCCGCATGAACCTGCACATCCCCGCATGAACCTGCACATCCCCGCATGAACCTGCACATCCCCGCATGAACCTGCACATCCCCGCATGAACCTGCACATCCCCGCATGAACCTGCACATCCCCGCATGAACCTGCACATCCCCGCATGAACCTGCACATCCCTTGACTCTCTCACCCCCCCCAGGCCGGCGGGCCCTCTTCACCCCTCCGCCTCACCTTTTTAGCCTCCGTTTGGGCGTGCCCCTTCCATCCTCCCCCCCACACCCCGCAACCCCCCTCTTCCCCCCCACCCAGCTCCCTCCCCCCCCCCCCCCCGCGCCTCACTTGGAGAACCCCCCAAGGAAGGAGGTGCGCGCATTGGAGCGCAGGAGGGGGGAGGTGGCGGAGAAGAGGAGGTACAGCGAGAGGACGTAGCGGCCTGGCAGCGGCAGCTGGTAGCACACCTGGGAGGGGGGGAGAGGGGATGGGAGGGATGGGAGGAAATGGGGAGAGGGGATGGGAGGGGATGGGAGGGGATGGGAGGGGATGGGAGGGGATGGGAGGGAATGGGAGGGGATGGGAGGGGATGGGAGGGAATGGGAGGGGATGGGAGGGGATGGGAGGGGATGAGAGGGAATGGGAGGGGATGGGAGGGGATGGGAGGGGATGGGAGGGGATGGGAGGGGATGGGAGGGGATGGGAGGGGATGGGAGGGGATGGGAGGGGATGGGAGGGAATGGGAGGGGATGGGAGGGGATGGGAGGGAATGGGAGGGGATGGGAGGGGATGGGAGGGAATGGGAGGGGATGGGAGGGGATGGGAGGGTGCGAGGACGGGTGCGTGATGAGCATCAGACGCGTGGGTGGGAGGGACGCGAGGGTGGGAGGGACGCGAGGGTGTTCACCTGGTGGGTCGAGTTGCCAGGGTGGTATGTCACCCGTGCTGCCATGCGCACATCCACGCCCGCCCCCTCCTCCTCCCCTCCTTCCCCCCTTTCCCCTTTCACCCCGTCCTCCCCCTGTCCTCCCTGTCCCCTCTCCCCCCCCTGCTCCCACTCTTCCAGCAGCACGGCCGCCCGCCCAGCAGCTGCTCTCGCCTGCGCGCTCACAGCCACTGGCACCTCTGTCACGCGCGCGCTGCCCTGCACCGCCACATCCGCGCTGCTCCCACTGCTGTTACTGCCGCTGCCGCTGCCCCCCTTGTGGGCATCTGTGCGGGCGTCGGTGCTGCCGTGGCGGCGCTGCAGCGCAACCAACGCCACCAGGAACGCGCTCTGCCTGGCGGGTGAGAGGGGAGACCACATTCAGCTTTTGAAAGGACGCGACACGGAAGGGGAGCGTGAGGGCAGGGGCTACAAGGGTAGGAAGGGGGCGAATAGTAAGGGGGAGAGTGGATGATGATAAACGGTGGGTGCAGAGAGATGCGATGGGAAGGAGACAGACACATGAGCTCGGCGGAATTCAGGCACGCAGCCGTGGCTTATTCACAGCAACCTCATTCGCAGCAGCGGCCTACCTGCATCCGTTGTCAAATGCCCTCCCGTTGGCATCCAGTGCTGCACGCCGCACACACAGGGGGGAGCAGAGCAGGACACGTTGAAAAGGCGCGAAGCGCTGAAGATGAGATGAGAGCACCCCACTGCACAAGGAGATGAGATCACCTTGCCAGTCCCCCCACAGCCCCCACTGGCCACACATAGCCCCCACTGGCCACACATAGCCCCCACTGGCCACACATAGCCCCCACTGGCCACACATAGCCCCCATTGGCCACACATAGCCCCCACTGGCCACACATAGCCCCCACTGGCCACACATAGCCCCCACTGGCCACACATAGCCCCCACTGGCCACACATAGCCCCCACTGGCCACACATAGCCGCCTACGCTCCACTTCTCACAACATGGCATGGCCAATGCAGCATGCCGCACGCTGCATGCATCGTTTCTCCCCAATGTCAACTTAGCCCATCCGCCTCTCCCATAAGCTCATCGCTGCAAGTCTGACCTCTCCCCCCTCCCCTCTCCCCTCTCCCCGCTCCCCCCCTCCCCCCTCCCCCCTCCCCCCTCTCCCCTCTCACCCTGTACCCCCTCCCCCTCGCCCCTCACCACCCTCCTCACCTCACCTCGCACCGTGAAGCACACCTCCTCGTTCACCCTCGCCTCCGCCACGCCCCCTTGCCCACCCTCCACCCCTTTCCCCTCCACGCCCCCCTCCACCTGCACGCGCCCAAACGCCACGTGTTCCTCCGCCTGCCATGCGCGCACGTCTTCCTCTCTCAGCGCAGCACCCTCGCATGCTGCTTGCTCTTGCTCCGACGCCACTGATGAAACCTCGGCCTTGCTGACGTTACTGCCAGCGGACGTGTTATAGTCACAATAGGCTTGAATGTGCCTAAAACGAAAGATAGAGAGCACAGACGGATTTCTGCACAGCGGCTTCAAACGTTGATAGCGTTCAGCTCACAGCTGCAAATGACCTGATTCAAATTGGATCTGGAGCGTCTTCACGTCGTCTACAATTAGCAATTTAGATTGCACGATTTGATAAAGAATCGACGACACAGCGTCGGTTTGAACGAACGGTACTATGGCAGCCACTATAGTCTTAGAACACAAGATAGGAAGAGTTACGAGTTGGGAATGACTCCCAGCTCCTACAAACCCCAAGAGCCGAGGTACAGTGATGTGGAACAGTGCCACACTGTCCCCAACCACGAAGGGTCTCGAAACTACCCTTCACTAGGGCCTACACCAAGTGAAATGTTACACTACACAATGTAATGTAAATATCTTCAATATCTTGAGGTGTACCCTTTTTTGGCGAGCTTCGAAATCACTTGAGGCTTGACACCAAGGCTCGGGCTCTTCATCACAAACTCATCCTTGAGTTCTTGATGGGTCTGCTGCACACACCTGCGACACGCCGAACGTTCGACACAGGACAAAATAGAAACCGCGCACGACAAAATAGAAACCTCGCGCGAGACACAAACGACCGCGTAACACGCGTCTAGCGATAACTCGCTATTGACTCGACACACACACTCGACATCATGACTCAACATTCACACACAATTATAAGCATGAAATATATATTATCCCATGCCCTCATACCATTCCATATACACACACATTCACGCACACGGACAACAAGCCGAGTGCAAACCGTAGGGTTGCACCAACAAACTCCCCCTCGGATTGTTGGCCTTAGGATATGTTGCTCTCTCAGTTCAGAGCCATCCCAGCCAGCTTGCAACACTTCCAATGCTGCTGCTCCACCAGCCTCTTGGTCATCATGTCAGCCGGCTGCCCCGTGGTCTTCATGTAGCGCAACTCAACTTCACCCGCGGTTACCATGCTCCTCGTCCAATGCCACTTCACCCTCATGTGCTTCGTGAGTCCATGCAACACAGGGTTCTTAGCAAGAGCAATGGCACCCTGGCTGTCACAGTACAGTGGGGTAGGTCCTTGCTGCTCCTCCCCCAATTCAGCCAACAAACGCCGCTGCCACACAATCTCCCGTACGGCACGGAAGAGTGCCATGTACTCGGACTCCACCGAGCTCAAAGCTTGGTCAACCTGCTTCTTGCTCTCCCAAGCAGTTGGGCCTCCACCAACACAGCATATGAAGCCTCCCACACTTGTCATGTCCTCTGGTTCTGATGCATATGAAGCATCCGAGTAGGCGGTGAGGAACAAACGCCCGGGTTCAACACCATCCGCGCCCTTTTGGCGCCTTTGTGCCGCCGCCGAGTATTGCAGCCCAACGGTCGGTGTTTGGCCAAGATACTTGGCCACCCTCATTCGAGCTGCTACCTGCTCCTCATTAGGGCATTGCACAACCCTAGCCAGCTGCTCGGTAGCAAACGCGACGTCCGGTCGGGTGTTTACCGCCGCATATATGAGGCTGCCCACCAACGAGTGAAATCGGCGCCTCTCCTCTTCACCAATGCTCTCCTCCTCTGGTCCCTTCACACACTTGAACCCAGAGGGAAAGGGTGTAGCCACATGGCCTTCACTCTGCCCAAAGTTGGCAGCCAATGCCTCCAGGTACTTTCGTTGATGCACCCGCATGCACCGCTTCTCCACATCTCGTTCGATGTGGAGCCCAAGGTAGAAGCTCACGTCACCAAGGGCCTTGCACTTGAACTTGTCTTGAAGCTTCAGCATCACCTCCTTCACAAGGTCAGAAGAGGGTGAGAAAATGAGGATGTCATCCACATAAACCACCATGAAACTCCTCTGCTCCCCCTTGCCAAGCATGAACAAGGAGTGATCGGCCGTTGAGGGAGTGAAGCCGACCCCCTCCAACACTTCGCGCAGCTTCATGTACCATTGCCTAGGGGCCTGCTTCAGCCCATAGAGGGCCTTCAGCTTCCACACTCTGCCACTACCATCATCAAACCCCTCTGGCTGCGCCATAAAAATCTCCTCCTCAAGGATGCCGTTAAGGAATGCCGTTACGATGTCCATTTGCTTTACTACCCATCCTTTGATGGCGGCTCCCGCGAATAGGGTTCGCAGTGTCGTCGGCTTCACCACAGGGGCAAACAGCTCCTTGAAGTCCACCTTCTCCTTCTGCTGGTACCCCTTGGCTACAAGCCTAGACTTGTAGCGCTCGATCTTGCCGTCGGCATCCGACTTGATTTTGAAGAGCCACTTGGACGTTATCGCCGTACGCCCCTCCGGTAGCTCCACCAATTCAAACGTGTCATTCTCCTCAATGCTCTTCAGCTCACTCTCCATGGCCTTCTTCCACTCCTCAGCATCACTACTCTCCAAAGCTTCCTTGAGAGTTGCTGGTTCTCCCGGCATCTCCACCGGAGAGAAGAACGCGAAGGCACACTCCTCGTAGTCACTCTCCTCGTCGTCTCCGACCATCATTGCCGCTCCGGCCAGGCCTGTCTTGCCCTGCTTTCCCGGCGCATCATAGGTCAGCCTATTAGGGGGTTGAACTCTCCTCTTCCCCCTTCCTTCCTCCTCAGCTGCAGGGACTTGAAGGCCTTGGCGTTGCTGCGGTGTGGCTCGAATCCGTGGAGCACTCGTAGTACGGGAAGGGAGTGACGGTGCACGCTCGCTCACTTGCTGCACCTCCTCCTCTTCTTCCTCTGCATCATTGGCCTCCTCTCCCCCATTCACAAGGGAGGATTGCCTTGTGGTTGTGCTGCCGCTGCTCAGCTCCAAAGGCAGCTCCACATGCTCCAAACCGGAACTCTTCACCTCCCCAAACCGCACGCCTATCTTCGCCTCATTCTCCGCCTTCCAATCCTTGTACATGAAGTTCTCCATGAACTTGCAGTCCCTGCTCACCAAGAAATTCTTGGTGAATGGGTCCCAAAGAAGCCATCCCTTGCTGTTTTGAGCCATGCCCAAGTGCACGGCCCACACCGCCTTGGCACCAAGCTTGTTGTGCCGAAGATGCTTAGGCACGAGTGCCATGCACATGCACCCGAACACCCGAAGCATATCCACCTTTGGCTTCCTTCCTAGCCACTCCACATAGGGCACCCATTTGTCTGCTCCCACATGAGTCAAGGCTCTGTTCTTGGCCACACACGCGCTCCGCACCGCATCAGGCCAGAAATAGTCGGGTAGCCCGGCTTCAATGAGCAACCCGCGTGCCGCCTCCGTGATTGTGCGGTTCGCTCGCTCGGCGATGCCGTTCATTGCAGGGGAGTATGGCATGGTGAGGGAGTGCCGAATACCATTCTTCTTCAGCCACAACCCAAACTCCTTGCTCAGGAACTCTCCCCCTCGATCGGTGCGGATTGACTTGACTAGACGGTCTTGTTGCCGCTCCACCATCGGGAACCAATCCGTCTTCAACGTTTCAGCCACGTCGCTCTTCTTGGCCAGCACGTACACCCAAGTCATGCGGGTGTAGACGTCGACAATGGTGAGAAAATACTCAGCTCCAGCAGCTCCAAGCTTCAGGGGGCCCACCACGTCCATCACCACCTCATCAAGCGGTGCCTTTGCCGTTGCCTCCGAACTAGGGAACGGAAACCGGGTGAACTTGGCTTGAATGCACGTCGGGCAGCCAAGCACCTCATCGGGCTCCCCCTTCACACGTATGCCAGCAACCATCTCATTCTTCACTAGCTGCTGCAAGATGGGCAGGGCCACATGCCCCATGCGCCGATGCAAGGTGAGCCAATCACACTCCCCCGTAGCCGAAGTTGGTTTGGAGAATGCCGCGCTCGCAATAGCGCCCCACATACTCTCTCCGTAGTCCTCCTCCGCTGCTGCCTCTGGGTTCTCCTCACCCTTTTGCTGCTCCTTGGTTGCTGCACCACTCTCCTTAGGTTCACTGAACTTGCTGGTCCCTCCAGGTTTGCTCTTCTTGAGCTCATTCTCCTTAGCGCGACCGTTCGCGCCATCGTCGCTACCGACCGCTCCATCCTTGGTGCTGATGCTTGCTGCCACTTGCCTCTCCTTAGGCATAGGGACCACTGGGATCTGCCACATCTCGTTGTAGACATCCCTGTCCTCATGAAGGTCCCAAAGAATTCGATCGCCAAGCCTTGCGGTGTAGGTCTTGGCTCCCTTCGAGTTCGTGTCCATGCCGGCCTTTGCCAACCGCCGCACGGAAATCAGGTTTGCAGCAAGGCTGGGCACCCAAAGCACGTTCTTGAGGCCCACCATCTTCCCATCAGCACCCTTGAACATGGCCTTGCCCATGCCTTTCACCTCTGCTCGCTGCCCCAAAGCCGATGTGACATGCTTCACCGGTGACGGCTCGAGTTCGGTGAGCAAGTCCGGGCGAGGTGTCATGCTATAGGTAGCGCCACTATCAATCACCCAATAGTCCAGGGGGTGTAGGGTCACCTTCCCCACAGCTGCTGGCTCCTCAAAGCCTTCATCCTTCTCTGGACCAGCCGGTACTTGCGTCGACACGAAGTAGAATAGACCCGGGTATCGATCGTCGCTCGGGTCCTTGTCGTTGTCTCCGCTCTTCATGTTTGCAGCTCCGCCACCGCGACCGCCACGGCCTCCACGGCCTCGTCCTCTCCCTCCTCCTGCTCCTCTACCCTCTTGGCCTTGAGCAGGGGTCCAACCATCAGGGAGTTTGTAGCAGTCGCGCCACATGTGTCCGCTCTTGTGGCAATAGTGACACTCGCCGTCGAATCGGCCGCGACCGCGTCCGTAGCTCTTGTCGTCGCTGCCGTAACCGCCACTCCTGCGGCCTCCGCCGAAGTTGCTGCCACCAAACCTTCCTCCCCCTCGTCCTCTGCCTCTTCCTCGACCATATCCACGGCCGATGCTCGCTGCCCCAGCGCCATCCGCACTCGCCAACTCACGGCGGCGGAAATCCTCTTGAAGGATAGCTCGCTTCATGTCTTCAAGCGAGAGGCGGGGCAAGTCGCGATTAAGGTTGATGATGAGCGAGGACCATGACTCTGGGAGTAAGGCCAGCAACTTGGTCTTCTTTTGGAGCTCACTGTAGTTCAAATCAGCTCCCTCAAGCCGCGTCAACAAGTCGAAGAATTTCTGCACCCCTTCTTCAACCGCTTCGTCTTCTTCAATTCGTAGTGCCGCCATTTGCCGTTCCAACACCACCGCTACCGCCGCTGTTGCAGGAGCATGTACACCCTTGAGAGCAGCCCATGCCTTTGGTCCTTTCTCTGGTTCACGCTGGAATGGCTTGATGTGACGGATCTGACTGCTCCCCAACGCTTGCCCAAGTAAGAGATAGCCTTGTGCGCTCTTCCGCACCCACGGGCTCTTCTCCGGGTCGTTCTCGGGGCGCTTCTCCGTTCCTTCCATCACCTCCAGCAGGTCATAGTGGTCAAAGATGTTCTCCATCTTGAAGGACCATTCAGCAAAGTTGTCACCGTTGAACTTGTCAAGCCCAAACACCCTAGGCTCATCCCTAGGTGGGCCAAAACTTGGTTGCATGGGCGCCATGGCTGAATCACGGGGTTGGCCTTGAGCTTGAGCTTCTCCACTGTCACCAGCACCTCTGCCACCCCTTTCCTCAGGTCCAGAAATTGTCGAAACTGCTCCAAGGGCCTCTGATACCACTTGTTCTAGTCACAATAGGCTTGAATGTGCCTAAAACGAAAGATAGAGAGCACAGACGGATTTCTGCACAGCGGTTTCAAACGTTGATAGCGATCTGCTCACAGCTGCAAATGACCTGATTCAAATTGGATCTGGAGCGTCTTCACGTCGTCTACAATTAGCAATTTAGATTGCACGATTTGATAAAGAATTGACGACACAGCGTCGGTTTGAACGAACGGTACTATGGCAGCCACTATAGTCTTAGAACACAAGATAGGAAGAGTTACGAGTTGGGAATGACTCCCAGCTCCTACAAACCCCAAGAGCCGAGGTACAGTGATGTGGAACAGTGCCACACTGTCCCCAACCACGAAGGGTCTCGAAACTACCCTTCACTAGGGCCTACACCAAGTGAAATGTTACACTACACAAAGTAATGTAAATATCTTCAATATCTTGAGGTGTACCCTTTTTGGCGAGCTTCGAAATCACTTGAGGCTTGACACCAAGGCTCGGGCTCTTCATCACAAACTCATCCTTGAGTTCTTGATGGGTCTGCTGCACACACCTGCGACACGCCGAACGTTCGACACAGGACAAAATAGAAACCGCGCACGACAAAATAGAAACCGCGCGCGAGACACAAACGACCGCGTAACACGCGTCTAGCGATAACTCGCTATTGACTCGACACACACACTCGACATCATGACTCAACATTCACACACAATTATAAGCATGAAATATATATTATCCCATGCCCTCATACCATTCCATACACACACACATTCACGCACACGGACAACAAGCCGAGTGCAAACCGTAGGGTTGCACCAACAGGACGTGCTGCCGTTTGAAGCATCAACGGTTGAGATTGAGCCATCCGAAGCCCCAACGGCTGTGCTCGCGCCATCCGTAACCCCAACGGTTGCAGCACCTACAGCTGCAGAGTGTGCTGGTTGGCCACTTCCGCCTGCAGCACCCGGCGACTCCTCCTTGATCAGCGGGCCTTGCTGCTCCACTAGCCTCCCCGCGCCTCCTGCTTCACCCGCCTCTCCCCCGCTCGACCCCGCACCACGCTGCTCAAACGCACCGGCGCCAGCGGCTTCGGGGTCAGCAGCCCCCGAGGCAGCGGCACTGTCGCCCCACCCCACGGCGCCCTCCCCTATGGGCACCTCCCCTGCCCATCCCACTACCAGGCGCGCTGCCACGCCCGCCTGAGAGGCGTACAGCGCGCAGCCCCACGGGACGAGCGCCGACCATGCCTGGCCGGGCGCGGCTGCGGGGAAGCATGGGGGGGGGACGGGAGGCTTTACGGGAGGTATAGGGGAATGGTACAGCACGCCGCATCGCCATGCTGTACCTGCACTCATTCTCTCAACGCACGACACCTTGACGAGCGTACGATACCTTAGCGACGAGCGTACGATACCTTGGCGACGAGCGTACGATACCTTGGCGACTAATGTAGGATCGCAGCAGCAGCAGAGCGAGCGCGAGGGCGAGCAGCGCCTGCGTGCTGACGAACGCTCCCGAGGCGCCGTGAGCGCGGCGAGCTGTGGGGGCATGGCGGGGCGGAACGATCGGGGGAAATTGGGGGGGGGGGGGGGGGGGGGGGGGGGGGGAAGAAGAGGAGGCGGGGGGAGGGAGGAGGCACGGGAGGGAAGCGAACGGAGAGGCGGAGAAACGGGTAGTGGGGCCGCGACAACACGATGCCGCGAATGTGAGCGAGACGGCTGTGTTCGACCCCATACTGGAAAATGGAACGCCGAAAGCGGTTGGGTAGGACTGAGCGGAGCACGTACCGCGAGCCATGCGCGTGCACCATCAAGTGCTCCGCTGTCAACGGGAAGCGAGTCGCAACGGCGCGCGTTTTAAACGAGGCAATCAGAGACCCCTAGCAGGTGGGAGCAGGTCCGACGCAAGCAGAGACATCACGGAATACTAAGAATTACGGAATCCTAAGAATCACGGAAAACTACGAATCACGGAAAACTAAGAATCACGGAAAACTAAGAATCACGGAAACATGGTGAACAGAAGTTTGTGTTTGGCTTCGGTGTTTGCCTAAAACAGAAGGCGATTTCGCAACGAATCGCAGCCGCACATCTCGAGTGTTCGAATCTTTCGGCTTCCGCAGGCATGAATGTGTTGGAAGAACAAAATGCCATGCGGGTGGACCTCAAATCCCGCGCGCTCCGCTTCCATGTTCTCGCACGCTGGGGGCTTTACGTGTGCGGCATGTACATGGTCGAATGCTGTTACGTGTTACGAGTGCAATTGAGTGAACGAGCGAGAATTGCACTATCGAAGCAAAAAGTACAATGAGCGAAGGCATGAGCGAAGAATATATAGCGAAACTACAGTGGTAACGGTTATGCGTGGAAAATGGGGTGCGCGACGGGCCTGGTGCCGAGGTTGGGATTTGTCGAGGCGGAGGTCCGGAGCGCGGGTTACCAACCGAACCGTGAGGTTGGGTCGCGTCGTGAACAGTGGCGGGAATAGTGTCGAGGCGAGTGTCGTTAGTGGTAACGGATTACTGTTGGGTGCTGTTGGCGGGAACAGTGGTGTACGCGCTGAGCAGGGACGCGAAGTAAGGAAAAGGAATTTTCCTTACACTACCCCCCTCCCCAAGGAGGCCCCTCTTACGAGAACGCGTGTACATCTCGGAAGTTTCGGCTTCGCAGGTACTCCGTGAGGACAGGGTGATTCTCAGTTCTATCCAGGGGGACCCAGTTGTCTTCGGTGGGCGTGCGGTCCTTCCATCGTATCAGGAATTCGATGCGGCGAGCTCCCTGTGGGTCACGTACGCGATGGCTTAGTATTTTCTCAGGCGTGATGATTGGTTCAGTCGGTGGTCTGGTCATCCTGGCGGGGCGGTTGCGGGGCAGTTGGCTGGTGGATGGCACGTATGGACGGAGCAGGCTGACGTGGAATGACGGGCTGACGTACCAGTCAGCAGGGAGGAGGAGATGGGCGGTGACGGGTGTGATCATGTGGCTGATGCGAAACGACCCGCAATATCGGGGGCGGAGTTTTGGGGTAATGGGCAGGCGGAGGTTTTGAGTGTCGAGTAGTACGAGGTCGTCTGGCTGGTAAGTGACTGGTCGACGGTGGCGGTCGGCGTTGCGTTTAGCGATGACGTTAGCTTTTTTAATTGTGTCTGCTGCCCTGGTCGGTGCTGCTTGCAAAATTTCGGTGAACTGTTGCGCGCGTGGGACCGGATTGTCGGGATTCGGGGTCATGGGTACTGTTGGGTCTTGTCCGTAGTTCAGGTAAAACGGTGACGGTTGGGTCGTGGCGGATGGTGAGTTGTTGTATGCGAACACGATGAGTGGCAGTTGCTGTTCCCACGTGTTCGGGTCGTCGCACGTGGCCCGGATGAGCTGTTCCATGGTCTGATTTGTCCGTTCTGTCTGTCCGTCGGTTTCGGGGTGGTATGATGAACTGAACTGTAGTCGCGTGCCGAACTGCTGCCACAGGTTCCGCCAGAAGTTGCTGGTGAATTTCGTGTCCCTGTCGCTGATGATTGATGCTGGTATCCCGTGCAGTCGTACGACGGTAGAGATGAAGAGGCGGGCTGTTTCTTCGGCTGTGATCGATTTCTTACAAGCTGCGAAGTGTGCCATTTTCGTCAGTCGATCGACGACGACCAGGATCGCGTCATTCCCACTCGCTCCGGCCGGTAACCCCGTGACGAAGTCCATCGTCACCTGCTGCCAAGCACGCTCTGGGGGTGGTATCGGCTGCAACTGTCCCGCCGGCCGCTTCCGTGATGACTTCATGATCTGGCAAGTGGGACACGATGCCACGTGTCGTTGCACGTCGGTCAACATTTCGGGCTAGTAATAATACCGCTGCAGCTGCTGCCGTGTTTTCTCTACCCCGAAATGCCCCGAGGTAACTCCGTCGTGTGCCTCCTGTAACAGTAATTCCCGTAGCAGTGTGTACCCTGGTACCCAGATGCGGTCGGTCCCGGCTTTTACGTAATAGACTCCCTTGGCTGCTGCGAACTGCTGCGAATTTCCTCCTGTGAAGAATGGGTCCGTTTGATACCCGTGGGTAAATAGTCCTGTTAGTAGCGGGCTGGTCTGGGCGAGTAGTATCGCGTGGATTTGGGCAGTGGGGCGGGTCAGTGCGTCAGCGATGTTGGATGCTCCTTTTTTGTAGGTGACCGTGTAGTGGAAATTTGACTCGAGGAAATCGAGCCAGCGGATCTGTCGTGGGTTGAGGTGGGGCTGTGCGCGGAGGTACTGTAGTGATCGGTGATCTGTCCGTACTGTCACGTCTGCGCCGGTCAAGTAACAGCGCCACACTTTGAACGCATGCACGATCGCGAGCATTTCGCGGTCGTGTATCGGGTAGTTTTTTTCGGGCGGATGCAGTTTCCGTGACTCGTATGCGATGGGCTGTAGGCCGTTGCGGAAATCCTGTAACAGTACGGCTCCAATGGCGATGTCGCTTGCGTTTGTAACAACTTCGAAGGGGCGGTGTGGGTCGGCGATGCGCAGGACGGGCGGTGAACAGAGAACATTTTTCAGGGCAGAGAAGGCAGCATGCTCTTTCTCCCCCCACGTAAACGCGACCCCCTTGCGCAGTAAATCCGTCAGCGGGGCAGTCAACTGTGCCATGTTGGGGACGAACCGACGGACATAATTAACGAACCCTAAAAAACTCTGCAGTTCCGTGATGTTCATCGGGGGGTGCCACGCTTTGACCGTGTCCAGCTTCTTTGGGTCGATTTCAACCCCAGCCTCCGAAATGACGTGCCCCAAAAATTCTAACCTATCCTGGAAGAACTCGCACTTGGAACCCTTGGTCAGTAGGCGATGCTCGTCTAAAACCTTAAAAACCGCTTCCAGATCTGCTAAGTGCTGCTGCTTATCCCTGCTACAGACGAGGATGTCGTCGAGGTAGACTATCACGCATTTATCTAAGAGTGGCCTAAATGCTTCGTTCATGGTCATCTGAAATGTCGCCGGTGCGTTGGTCAGCCCGAATGGCATCACGGTGTACTCGAATGATCCGTATCTAGTCCTAAATGCTGTCTTGGCTCAGTCCGATGGTTCGACCCGAATCTGATGGTAACCCCCCCGTAAATCTATTTTCGAGAAAACCCGTGCCGTTCGCAGTTGGTCGATCAGTTCGTCGGCGTGGGGAATGGGGTATCGCGATTTGACTGTTACTCTGTTCAGTGCTCGGTAATCGATGCACATGCGAAAACCTCCGTCCTTCTTCGGTGTGAACAGTATCGGTGCGGCGAACGGGGACGAGCTCGGTCGGATGAATTTCTTTTCTAACAGGTAGTCTAACTGCTTCCTCAGCTCATCGAGCTCGGGCTGTGTCAGCCTGAACTATCGCTGTACGGTTGGCTGTGCCCCGGGTTCTAGCTCTATGCGGTGGTCGTGTGCTCGTTGAGGTGGCAGCCCCTCCGGTAAGTCGTCCGGGAAAATCCCCAGGTACCGTTTCAACAGTTCCTGTAGGTCGGGCGGTACTGCTGCCAACAGTTTCTGAAAATCGCTCGGCTGCTCTGCTGCTCCTACCAATGCTATATCCACTGCGTACACGTCAGCTCCAGCGGCGACAGCCCGTTTCATCGTGATGGCGTTGACGTGGACCGTTGAAGACTCGGGCGACTGCCAGCGAGGTAGCGCGACCCAGTTACCGCTAATTCGCACAGTGCAGCTACCCGTCGTCCAGTCGATTCGCGGGTTGTAGCGTCGCAGCCAATCACGCCCCAGTAAAATGTCGTGCCCATCCAATGTCGTCGCGAGCATTTCCTGTGTAAAGCCGAAGTTCCCCCCGCAGCGAACTTTTACTCTCTCCACCTTTTCCCGTATGACCAGAGGCGTGCCGTCTACTAAGCGTGCGTCGATTTCTGGTAAGCACCGACTAAGTGCCAGTTGCAGTTTTCGTGCGGTTGCGGTATTAACTAAGCTGTGGCTTGCTCCTCCGTCGATAAAAATCTTCACTGCTGCTCCCTGTATTTTCCCGTGGATCAGTACTGGGCAATCCGTCGCTGTACCCTCCTTATTCATCCGAGCCCGATCGATGGCGTGAATCGGTACTGTGACTCGGTGAGGGTCGGTGTGGTTGGGCGAGCAGGCAGTCTCGTCAGTAGTTGGCCCGACTCCTACTGACTGCTGGCGTTTCCCTGCCTCTGAGACTCCCTCCCCTGCTCTGCTCCGCGGCGCCTCAGCTCCTCTGGACATTCGCTCTTGCGATGGCCCGGCCTGTTGCAAGCAAAGCAGCGCCCCTTAAATGGCGCGGCAGCTGCATTCGTCGCAACAGCGTGTACAGTGGTGTGCTCGATCGGTCCCCGAGGACGATGTCCGTAGTAGGACCCCGGTCTCGGTCGGCGTAGGATGTCGAT